AGATGTACCAAAACACGTCCCGCTGTCTGTCTGATGGAGCCAGGGTGTTGAGGTGACAGCAGCTAACCCCCGACGAGAACGCAGGAACGACAGCAGCCCCCACCAACGAGAAACAACTAATGACAGGGTGATGCGGTGACGAGAACCCCACCCCAGCATCCAGCTCAGCATCCCCTCCACAGCGCGGTGGGTGCAGAAATAGCAGATATCAAGTCACGGCAGCAACACGACAGCCCCACCATGTGTCCACGAATGAATATTTCTCCGATGGTGAGCTGGTCATATGTCTCGGGCCTTTCTTATACTTATGAGATGCTTTCGGCAGTACTGCAGAGGTTGAAAAAGGGGGGGGGGGGGGGGGTATCGATGCTAGGGATGCCATGATCAAAAAAAGAGGGGATGGTGTATTACGACATGAGTCGAGTTCTTGGAAACTAAAATGGCAGACAGGAGGGAAGAGAGTCCAACACGAGAGCATGACAAGAAACATAAAAGGTACAAATAACAAGCAGTCGTGAAGCGTGAGATCATTCATCTATAATCGGAGTTTCTCTACTCCCTCCTCTTCCTTTTCCTCGGCATCCATTTCCATTCCAGCCTTTAGCTCCCACTACCTCCTCTATCCCATTCCATCCCCATCCAGACAAATCATCCATACAACCCTTCCTCCCCTTCCTCACCCACTGCACATTCCATCCATACAATCCTCTTCCAACAACAACACAAACAAAACAAAAGACACATCATAATCGACAAAAAAACGCCACACACACCAACCAAACCAAACCAAACCCTCCCACCGCTCTACGACAAAACGCAACCAGCGAAGTAGTAACCCATTGAATCCAAAAACAAAAAAAAGGTTGTGTGAAGAAATGAGGTAAGACGGTAAAACCCAGCGAGTTGAGAGGAAAATAGGGAGGTGGATGAGATATATCCGGGTGAGTGAGAAGAGGGTGGTAGAGTCCTATTCTTGGCAACGTCGACCTCGGGCGATGGGAGTGCCACAAGTATGACGACGACGACGGAGTTGCGAGTGACGACCAGAGAGGCGACGAGGTGTCATGAGTGCCAGGTACCTAACAGCGGGACAGTGGCGGGGTGGTTGCAACAGGCAGACAAAGAGTCACAACCCCTCCCACATGACTCAACCCCTCCAGGCACCCAACCCATGTTCACGACACGCCCTTCACATCCCCCCCATCCCCCCCGGTATATCCGCACTCCCCTGCAACTGCCTACTCAGCTCTTCCTCCGCCGCCCCCTCCCCCTCCCCCTTATACGTCCCCCTCGCCAGGTACTCCTCCTGCACCTGCCTCTGCTTCGCCGCGCTCTCCCTCAGATCCGCCACCGCCTGCGCCGCACTAGCCTGAAGCTGCGCCTGCAGCGGCGCCATCTGGCTCTGCAGGCTACTGCCAGGCTGCTGTTCGGGCGACTGTCCCATCACGGCGGTGGGGGCGTGCGCAGCTGGCGGGGTTGGGTCGGGGCCGCGGCGGGGAGCTTCATGTTGTTGGTGTTGGTGGGGGTGGTTGAGGAGAACCGAGACGGCGGCGGGGGGTTGGGGGTATTCGCCTTGTGACTCGAGGAGGCGGCGCTGGAGCTGCAGGATGTAGTCGCGCAGGGAGTAGTTCTCGTTCTGGATGACCTTGTAGTTGTCTTCGAGGGTGTGGAGCTCGCGGACCTGCTCTTCGAGCTTCTTGATGTAGCCCTCTTTGCGTTGACGGAAGGCGCGCTGCGGGGGGGAGGGTTGGTTAGCGAACGATCGGGTTAATTCTTGGGTTTGATAGCAAAGGGGGTATTTGATGGATTGTATGCCATAAATTGCTTTGATGAAGGGACGTTGGGTGATTGAAAGGTTGATGGTTTACGTAAGCTGGATTGTGGATGGTGATGCCATAAGAGTTGACAAAGCAGACCTTAGGTCGCGCGAACGTCAAAAGATCTCCCCATCGCAACCCAACGACCATGCGCAAACCATCATAGAAAACGACTTATCGTCGCCAACGCGTGAAAAATGATCGCAACGTACCTGAGCTGCGCGGTTCTGCGCCGCGCGTTTCGACTGTGAGAGCTCGCGCTTCCCGCCCTTCCGGCCATCACCGTTGTCGTCCCCGCTGTCGCCGCCGGCGCTGCCACCCATCATGTCCAGGGCGTGGTGGGCGTGCGCGGCGCCCGCGATGGCGGGATCGATGTTGTGCGGACTTGCAGAGTTGGAAGCCACGTCGTTGTAGCCATGGACGAGATGCGGCGGTGGTGGCTGGTGGTGAGGATGCTGCAGCTGCTGTTGTTGTTGTTGCGACTGGTGCTGGCTTGGTGGGTTGTTGATGACTGCAGCCAGCTGGGCTCTTAGGTCTGGGAGAAGACGCGAAATCATGTCAGCACGCTCACAATGCTGAGCCAGGGAAATAGAGAGGTGAGCAAGAGGAGGGAGGGGGTTGTTAGGTTTATGCAGCCCACAGACTTCAGGGTAGAGGGGGATGGGGGGGGAGTTGGTGGTGTGGTGATGGGAAGCGCATTGATGAGTAAGGCGGCGGACAATGAGAGTGAGTCGTGTTGCCTCCCTCCGGTCCTTCCTAATAATCTCGTGATGATATTTTGATTTGTATATTGTACGTACCATTATCTGAATGCATATCCTGCTATTGTCGGTGCAGCACCGTTGAGTCAGCAATGAAGATGCAGGGAGAGCGCGACGGCGGGGGCGCGGGGAATTATAGAGTGAGAAAGCCTTTCTCAGCTATCGCCTTGCCTCCCTCTCTCTCTCGGGTTCGGGCGCAAACAAACGAGATGAGCGCGGCGGAGGGGCGGGCTTTGGGGTTTCTCAAAGAAGGAGGAGTAATCACTGCTTACCTGAGCAGGATGTGGAGGCGCAGGGGCCAAAGTCGGCTGCATCGCGTTCATTCGCTGGGGGGGGTGGGAAGCTTTGTAGCGCCCTCCTCTTGGTAAATAGTGGGAGGGTGAGAGTTGTGTATTGATCGGAGTTATTGATTTGTGATCACAGGGAAGAGTGAGGATCAGGTGAAAAAAAGGGAATTGTGGTAGTAGTGGTGATAGTCGGAGGATCAAGGTGAATTATTATGATATTGTCGTCGAATTGGGAGGTAAACAGAGGAGAAAGAGTAGTTGTGAAGAGGGGGGAAAGAGAGAGGAAGTTAAGAAAGAGAGAGGGAGGGAGAGGGACAAGAGAGTGAGAAGGGAAGATAGAGGGAAGAGCGAGGGAGAGGGAGCAATGATACAAGGTGACAGGAGGGGAGAAGAAGTGGCTGAGGAAGTGGCTGGTTTTGAGGCTGGAGATTGTGGCTTGCGTTGGAGTTTGGAAGAGTTTAGAGGGATGACGAGGAGCTGATAGAGGGATGATGAGTGTTCCACGGATACTTCGGGTAGATTTGACAGTATAGCTTATGTAATCTGTTAGTAATTTCTTACGTGAGCCAGTTGCGTTGCGTATGCGTTTATGTCGTGCCGGCGGGGTGGGGCGGGGCGGAAGTTCGGAGTGGGGAGGAAGTTATGTCCGGAGCCCGGTAAATAGACTTATGTAAGACTCTCGTAAGCTACGTAATTATGTAATCATTATTGTTAGTCCGTTCGGTGGAGGTAGGAAGTAATCAAATAAACACTACCACCAAGCAAAACAATGCCATCATCCTATCGCCGTCGTAACTAACTATTATCCCGTATATCCGTGTATATATCTATCACTGCCAGCAAGTCCAATCTTGCCACTTCTTAATTAGGATGGAATGATCCTACTACTGACTAAACAACAGCCTTGCCACGGTGTTGAGACTACTTCCGAGCCTTCCGTGAGTGCATGTATGCAAGACAGCTTCCAAGACTGAGATATATCCTCCTTAAACCACCTCGTCCCCCTTCTTTTACTTCTGTGGCTTCTGCGATGAGACGCTGTGACACTGTTATGATATTTCTACGATGAAACTTTCCTATGAGACAACGGGTATCTAGCTATGGTTTAATTACAGATGCCATACACACAACGTTATAATCTTAACAGCCGGTGAGGCCAAACACGAGGCAAGTGGGTCTATATCCTCTCTCTCCATCTCACCTTCTCACTCTCTCTTCCTCCCTCCTCTCTCCTTCTGCGCATCCTCCATTCCATACACCCTCTCCTATCCATCTTTTATCTCCTCCGCCGACCCGGTGTACCAAATCCCAGAACCTCTCACCCATCCACACCTACCGGAACTCCAAGTACAACCTCAAGAATCCCAACCCGAAGCAATTGGCCCTCTCCATGATGACAGTCTGCTTACGAATCATCGACCTCGTACCGCAAGTCCGGTACCAGTTCCCCTATCACTGACAGCACACACAGCCAATAATATCTTGGGGGTCGTATTCATCCCAGTGCGAAGTATCGTAGACATCCACTCACTCGTAGTTGTCAGAAACGAAGATCTCGTCGCAGCAGCGAAGGCATCCACTTGCAGATGTCAGAAACGAAGATCTCGACTAATCTCTCTTCCAGTAGAGTAGCATCGTGAGTTCTGTCAGCACATCGCGCGTTTCACTTCTAATGTGCCCTCGTAACCATCTACCTCTTCATGGCATTGTCCCTACCACCGTATACACAGAGTCATCTTTTGGCGGAGTAGCATGTCGAGTTCCCAGTCAGCACACCGCGTCTTTCAATTTCAATATACCCTCGTAACAGTCTCGCTCAGAGTATCACTTTCATCTCCAAAGTGCCCTCGTAACCGCTTCGCTTCCTTCAGAACACCAACTTCACCCTCCAACTTCCAATGCGCCTCTCCTAACTCCCCCTCTCACAGCACCCCAAGAACTCTTCCACACCCCTCCCCCCTAAACATAAACCCACCCCCTCATAATCCTCCTCGCCGTCCTAAACACCACCGCCCTCTCCAACCTCCCCCCCACAAACTTCGCATCAACCACCATCCTCCCACTCGGATGCGCCACCACACACCCTTCCCCCCCTCTCTCCCCCATAACCCTCTGCACAACCGACCCCTCCACCCCCGCCGCTGCCGCCACAGACACCCCAACACTAATCGGCACCGCCCCATGCGGATCCCCCGTCGACACAGCACGGACTACAATATCCACCCCGCTGTCCTCTTCCCCCGCTGCTGTCGGGGAGGGAGGAGGGGGGGAGACGAGAGCAATCTTCGGCACCCCCGCCGGCGTCTCCTCGACTGTGCTACACATCCCCATCTTCACCGCCGCCTGGCACCGTATTGACTCCAACCTCCTCAGTAAATCCGGATGCGAGCTCATCTCAGCTGGTGAGATAGTGCCAGGGACACCCATACTCTCGGCAGCGATGAAAACACACGGATTCGACGCATCGATACACGTCACCTCGACGCCGTCAAATACATCCGTCCCCGACCCCGTCGGTAACAACTTCCCCGTCACCGAGCCCGCTGGGTCGAGGAAGGCGAGCTTGATGCACGCCCCTGTGCCGGGGACGCCGGAGATGGCGAAATCGCCCATCGCGGCTGCTTCACCCGCGATGAGGGGGACGGTGGCTTCGATGAGTTTATCAGTGTTTGTATTATAAATCCTCACCGTCGCCTCCCCCTCTCCCTCTCCAGAAGTAGGCAACCCAACCAACCCCTCATCCACCGCAAACGCCGCCACCCCCGCCGTCATATTCCCACAACTCCCCCTATAATCCACGACCCCATCCCTAATCCCCATCTGCACAAACGTAAACTCCACATCCACCCCCTCCCTCTCGGAAGGTCCAACAACACATAATTTAGACAACGAAGAGATCCCACCGCCGAGACCGTTGAGTTGTCGACCGAAGGGGTCGGGGGAGCCGAGGATGGTGCGGAAGAGGGGGGGCCAGGAGCTGCGGGTGGGGGGGAGGGAGGAGAGGTGGATTATGGGCGCGCGGGAGGTGCCGCCGCGGTAGTAGGAGGCGGGGAGGGGGCGTTGGGGTTTGACGGCGGTAGGGGTGGTGGTGGTGGTGCTGTAGACGCGCCGGGCGTGGGTGGTGGGTGTTCCTATCCGTGGAGGGGGTTTGATAGGACTTTGCCTGCTAGGGATCACTGAAAGGGACGGCTTGGAGAACTCATATTCCCGTTTGGAAAATTGGCAGCGAGTGGAGCATGCGCTGGGCGCCTTGCCTTCGGCGTGCGGAAGGGGCGCAGAGTGTCCCTGCGTTAAGCTTCGCCAGCCGCTCCCTCGAAGCTTAAAATGACGTGGAGATGCCATAGTGACACCGCGACACATGTTGGAACTGCTTGCGAGTGCCATAGTAGTAGGCATTTCTGACGTCGCGAGGATTGGTTATGCCGGCGCCCTGTGGTAGTGCTGACCCGAATACCGGCGATCCCACGGCGGTGATCTTCCCTGGGTAGAGGTTTCTGGTTCCAGCGCGAAATATCCAATTTTTTGCGAGTTGGGAAACCTGCTCCTTGGAATTCCGGATTCAATAGGGGTACAGTTTCCAAGATGCGGTGGTTGGTGTATATGCGTCCGCCGTTCACCGATTTTGGAGATGGGAGGTCCACATGCCGAGGCTGGCGATGACAGCGGAAACGCTCCGAAACCACGATCTTGAAAACGCCGCGCATAACGTCCGAATGCTCGTAAAGTAGAGGATATCAAAATAATATATAATGCTCAGTCGCACACCTTTCTATTATGGTTTAACAACACAGTCCCGCTAGGTTAGGAGGCTTACTTACGCTTGCTCGTTGTCATAATATATATAAAAAATGCGACCTCTACCTCAACTCACATTCTCATATCAACACATCCAACCTCAATCTCTCAATTCCTCCGTCGGTATGTCCAGAGTATCAATAGCTTGGATGAAACGCTCCTATTCACTCTTAAAGAGGATGTTGAAGGCATTCATGTCATAATCTGCAATCTCAATATTAAATCCAAACTCAATATCTCAAATATAAAACAATATTGGCATAAATTTCATTCACACTCTCAACCCCCATCTATCTAAAGGTATTCATCAATAGCACACATTTTTGTACCTCCACTCCCACCCCACCATTCCCACCCCCCCCAAACATTTCATCAATCTCCCGCACCCTCCCCTTAAGCAACTTACGCAACAACCCCATTCGGCCCCCCATTCGCCTCCGCCACCCCCCCCTCCTCACCCCCCTCCTCCACAAGCCTCACACAAGCCTCCTCCTCCTTATCAAACACAAACGCATGCACCTTCAACCCACGATCCGCAATCGCCTTCGCCACCGTCGGCTGCGAGCGCACCCACTCAACCTCAGCCTGCACGTAGACCTCCGCGAGGTGGCGGTCACGCTGTACGGTCTCTAGGTCGGGGAGGAGGGCGTCGTTGGCGGCGCGGAGGCGGGAGAGGTCTCTGGGAGGTGGGGGTTAGCTGGTGGAATTGGTATGTAGGAGGGTAGGAGGGGGGAGTGGGAAGGGGAAAGGGGGAACTTACTCGTACCACCCGTCTATCGCTGTTGGGGCCTCGCTGGCCTCCTTGAATAGTACACAGTCGTAGTGTCCGCAGACGACAATATGCTTCACCTACGCAGACACCTATTAGCCCCCTTTTCTATTTTCCCATGACTCCCCTCTCCCCTCCCATCCTCCAGCTCCAGGTAGGTATCAACCAACTCACCTCCAACAAATCAACACAATACGCAATCGCACTCGCCGAGCTCAAATCCCCATTACTCATCACGCTCCCCAGATTGCGATGCACAAACGTCTCCTGCGGCAGCACATCCAGCGCCGCCGTCTCGGTGATCCAGCTGTCCGAGCACCCGACCCAGAGGATCTGCGCCTTGCTCTCGCCCGTGCTGGGGATAAGGTCCTTGGGGACGGGGAGGATGGAGTAGCGGCGCCGGGCGGCGCGGTGGACGTCGGGGAACATCTTGGTGCTTTGCATATGAGGTGAGATGAGGGTGTCGTGTGAGGTGTGCGGGGTACCAGTATGCTGGTGAGTGCTGTGTCGTGGCGGGGTAGACAGAAGGGAAGCAGATGGTGATTTGGATTGTCTCAGTGGTATGTCTCACGATAAGCGCGGCACGAAGACTTTCGATGCGATGCAGTACGGGGAGCTGCCTTGTATACCAGGAGTAGAAATCAGGTATCGAGAACAGTAACAGGAATATAGTATAGTAGTACAGTAACGAGAAAAGGAAGAAGAGTGACGAGAGGAGGAAGAGGAGACGAAAAATCGAGATATGCCGCCACCGTTCCCTACCTGATTGTCTTGGTCTTTGCTTGTGTCTGGACCAACCCTGGTGCGGAGAACGCAGCTAACGACTAAAAATCAGGCCACTTTCTCGGGAGTCGGGGGATGATCGGAGGGCATCGGGCCGCTGTCGGGAATGGCTTTGGTTGAATATAGGGGAGTTTAGGCAGTTGAGAAGTGAGAAAGTGAGAAATATGAGAGAGATAGACGACAGAGATAGAGGATAGACTTAGCATTTGGAGGATATGGAGATGAGAGGGAGGTGGTGACGTTGGGAAGAGAGTAGAGGGGAGAGGACGGGGTTAAATTGGGGGTGCTGATCGACGTTATGGGCCGCCCCATGCTACTTACAATCTGTGGCGGTGCGTCGGCGGCGGTTGTTTGTGGTGCGGCAGTCACTAACAAAGCCGGGGCGGTAGTTGAGAGGAAATTGAGGCTTGATATATTGGCAGTTTGACAGGTCAGAGTAGAAAAGACTTTACGTATGCTTGGAGACGTATGTAAGCACTCTATGCATCTCCAACAACACTAACTAAGCTTCTCTCAAATCACAAAAACACTGGGATACATCCTGGGATGCACGTGACTGACACGGTATAAATTCCATATATGTAAATTGTCCAACTATATACTATATATAATCAATAGATAGACTGACTGACTGACTGAGTGAGTGATGAGCAAACTGAGCCCAGATAGCACTCCTCCTTCCCTTCTCTTTCCATTTTCCCATTTCCCATCCCTTCCCATCCCATCCAGACTCCCACCGCGCCTTCCCCATCCAGCCCACAACCCATATCCATACACACCCCAAACCCCATCCTCTTTACTCCCACAAAACCCAGAACCAAAATATGTACGCAGCAAAAACATATGTAGTATGCGCGCAAAAAAGAAAATAACACCCAGCAATGACATCCAATCCCACCTCCACATGCTCTCCCATCTCCCATACATGCCGGACTTTCCCCGACGATGGCATCAAAGCTGACAAAAAAAGGAAACGACGGGAACCTGTCCCGAAACCTCATCTCCACCGGTATAAGAAGCCTCCCTCCTCCCCTCCAACCCACGTCCCCAAATCCCCTCAATTGCAGCCCAAACAGCGGTGCTTTGACACCTCCAAGCAACCTCACCGGCAGATCCTCGGACCGCAGATTCCCCGGCGGGCCGTCCAACCCGCACGTGACGAAATCCCCGACCGGATCCGCGGTCCGCCAACCGACGCTCCTACCACCCAAATCCAACACTGGCCTACATAACCCCGCCCCGCGCCCTCCACCACGAATGGGTCCAGCAGGGGGGAAATAGGAAAGGGGCGCTTCCCAGGGCCTCGAACCCCGTCCGTCAAGTCGGGCCTTTCGCACTCACTCTGCCGCTACCGGGGCTGAGCCAATCGATGGCTGAAGCGAGTGTGGGCAACCTGGGTGGATCACCCGCGCTGGCTGGGTGCTGGCCTAGACTCGAGGCGGCTCGACTTTTGCCCGTCACGATGATCTTTGTTGTGGTGTGGGGGTGATGGAGCTCAGCGCATACCCATGCCTCCTAGGGCGTCTTGACGGCGCGCCTCGGCTTCGCGAATGATCTCAGCCGAGAGGGCCAGAGACGGCGCGAGACGGCTGTAGCGGGCGATTTCTTCGACGACGCCGTTGATGATGGCGTCCATTTGGTCGGGGGGTGGGAGGAGGGGCGCTAGCGACGGGGACATGGTGGCGCCCATTACGAGGAGGGTCTGCGATACGATGGAGAGCGCGCCTTGCCAGAGATATGGCATGTGACCTGCGTGGCTACGGGTTGTTAGAAGGGGCCAAGGAGAGAGGGAGAGATGGGGTGAACTTACTGTGCCGTTATGTTCTCCAATTGGCGAATCGCGGCATCGAGACACTTGCGACAGTTCTCGCGAACCGCGGGATCCAAAGCCGCTGCCTCGTTGTCCAGGACGGCCAAGATATACGGTCGGAAGATTATAGTCCTGCATGCATAAAAGCGCAGACGAAGCACGGTCTGGACCGGGTCGGCCAGGAGGCCTCGCGTGTATGGGAACTGCAGGGCCAGCGGGAGACTCTCGTACCACTGTCCCAGCTGGAAGTCCAGTTCGGCTACGACTGGCTCCAGAGCACTCATCGTCGCTACGCTGTCTTTGCTGTAGATGAGCTGGCTCACTCTATTCAGCAGTCGCCTGAGGGCGATTTCAGCTAGGAAGTACCACAGCTCGTCGCGGCCGACAAACTGCGCGTTGTCCGCAGCCTCGGGATCCTCCATATGATCAAAGTGCTCGAACTCAACGAATCCACCTGGAAGCCCGACGCATTCCTCAAACTGGACAATACCAGAATGAGGGAGATCGAGCTCAGCCAGGAGATCAGACTCGAAGAGCAGAGCATTCCAGTACACCCTCTCGCTCAGCTCGCGCTCCTCCGGAGGTACGCGCCCAGGTCCTGAAAGAAGGAGCTGGAGCTTCGTGCTGGTGCTGCTCAGCAGCGTCCATGCCTCCAGGGGACGGACTAGATAGAAAAGGTACGCCGAAGCTAGAACCATGCACTGTGCGCTTAGCACCGTGTTGCGCGTCATGAGGGCTGGTAAAATGGCCCATGCAGACGCGAAGAACGAGAGTCCTGGCGTCTCCTCCGAGAGCGGTACCCTGGAAATGGAACCGTGTACTGACGCCTGTCCCAAGGCCAAGACGAGGAGGACGATGCAGGACTCTGGTCCTTCGCGGAAACCGTTAGATAGCGCAACGCGGTAGTGACTCGGCCAGTTGAAGGGGTTAACAACTGCATACCATACATTGACCCGCGAGAAGAATGCTCGGATGTATGCTGCTGTGTTGGAGAGGTCGAGACGCAGCGATTTCGGTAGGGTGAGTGGTTCGCGAGACATCTCCAATTGAAGTAGAATTTGCGGGTCGTAAGGCCGAGATACCAGATCGCGGATGACAGGCCACTGGAGGAGGTGGAGCGCTGCGTTCGTGTGCTCTTTTGGCATTGTGGAAATGTTGGTGGGCGGGCTGGTCCACGTTCCAAGACCAGTAACTGGAATCATAGAAACGAAGTTTACGTGATTCTGGATCATCTCTTCATTGCTGATAGCCGTGCTGCTGCTGACAGCTGGCGATCCCGACGTAAGAGCCAATTGATTTGTCTGGCTCACTAGATTTGACTGTAAAAGACCCTCTATGCGTGAAAGGTGTTCCAGAATGAGCTTATCCCCAGCATCGAGCTTGATGCCAGGCTCACGATAAATGCACTCTGCGCCGAGCTCAACGCAGAGCCGGCACTTTGGCTTCGACCCATCGCAGCGCGATTTCCGTGACCTGCATATCTCGCACTACACTGCATGTTAGCCAGGTAGGTCAGCGCAGCGGTGGATCATGGCGTGCATACAGCTATAGTAGCCCTCCGCCTGGGATAGTCACTTCCTGCATCTGTATTCCTCCTTTTGAGAGGGTTAATTCCATCATCACTGTCCTTCCTGTTCTGCAGTCCATTTCCATTCGTGGTAGAATCCCGGTCTCCCGATGACTGGGACAGGTTCCGCGCCTTCTGGGCCGATCCGAGGATGCCTTCACGGCTGAAACTCAGGCCGCGTCGGTCAGTGGGGGATTTGAGAGAGTTCGGCGATTTGATAACGCCGTTCGACGTCGCCGATAGGTGTGGGGAGGGCAGATCGATGGCGAAGTTATCGCGCGACATTGGGTAGTGCTTGCCTTGTGTAGACTCTGAGGCCGCTGGTGAGTTATCTCGGGACGAGTTCGACATGGCCATGGCTTTGGGTGCCAGACGAAGGGAACTCTAGTACCACGAGTTGTAGTTATACCCCCGTGATATTACCCGGGCAGGAAAACAGGTACAGATGCAATGCGACGTCACGTCGATTATTGGCTGTCTTGAGTTGAGGCCCGATATATCGATGATGTCCAAGGAAAGAGAGGGGCCGCCGTTAGTTGCCGTGCGACTGGCCTGTATTTGAAGGAAAGCGAGCCGAACTGTGAGGGTATATTGAGGGGGTGGGGTGGATGTTTTTCTGGCGTATTTCGTTCTTTGGTAGCCTACTTCAACGTGCAGCCACCATCTGAGCGCTTTGGTGGCGGTTGCTAAGGATGCGAGGCAGCTGCAGTGTCCCTTTCCGCAGCTTTTCACAACGAGGCGCCGACTAGGGTGAGGTAGGCGGGCAAGGGTAGTAAAAACTCAATCTTTCGGACGATGGGGAATCCTAGATTGGGCTCGTTTCCCGAGTAGTGTGCATTATCGAGGTACAGTAGTTGGTAGTAGCGGTAGTAGTAGGAGAGGGGTGAAGGGGGAAAGAGGGGTGTAGTATCATGCAGTATGGTGATATGTCGTGGGGTAAAAGAGAGAGGTGCGGTACTCGAAGGTAGTTAAAGGTGCGAGGTGAGAGGGTGAATCGGCAAGTGTGAGTATGCAAGTATGTACAGATGAGACGAAGGAGTAGAAGCAACAGTCGGTCTGTAGCGCGCGGGGCGCAGATAGATGGGATTAGTAGCGTTGATTATGTAGCTAGTAAGGGAACCTTGAAGTAGGTCCATAACACCCGGCGAGGATGTGGAAGCGTTCTGACCAGTGACGGGGCTTTGTTGGATATGCTGGGCCTGCTTAGTCGGTGCAGGAGATTGTCATCCAGGAGTCTTCCCGGTCTTCCAAGCCTTCCAGCAGTATCCGAGTGGAATCTGGGGTTCGGGGTCGGCACGTGCTTACCGAATTGGAAAGATTCCAGAAGGGAGGCGCTCGACATGAGGCCTCGATATTAAAAAGTTGTGCTATACAGTAGTATGCGCAGTAGTGGCAGTAGTGGCAGTAGTATATACTACTGCCACGCTAGGTATACTAGCAGCCTTCGAAAGCCACTAGATTCAACGCCAGAAGGTCCAACTTCTCATAGTAGCAGGCTAACAGGGTACAAGGGCCTGGTAAAATAACCTCCACCAGAGCGGGGGAAATAAAAATGTCTGAGAGCTGAGGTGCTCCATCTCAGTCCATGGCTCCTCCTCATCCACCTCGCCCGATGTCTTGACGGTCACCCAAATGTGGTAATGATATGTCAGCCACTCGCTGTCACAGCCCTTCCAAGGCGGCCTAAAGTGAGTGGCTGAGATGCAAGACGATGGATGGAGAGGAAAGATGAAAGACGGGGACGGGGACAGTTGAAGCATCAAAACGCAATGCCCACCCGCTGTCGGAAAGTTACTTAGCACCCCCTTGCTTTACGATGTGCCGCTCACTCGTCACCCACCGCCCACAGAAGGTGGAGATTGGGACGGTGCTTGGACTCTCGCCGTCCGACGCCAGGTCAGGGTATGCACGCACAGTGGGCACAGCGCGGCGCGTCCGTTTAACGATCTCAGCGCCACCATGGCGAAATGTTGAGCGCAGATGCGAAAGGGTCTCGTTGCGAAGTCGGCGTGGGATGGGGCGAAGGCGACCCAGCCGTTGGTAGCTGCCCCCATACGTACCAAAAAGGGCCCCAAGATAACTCCGCTCCTCCCGCTGCACCTCTTAGTCTCTCTCTCTGCCTCGCTTCAACGGCCTTCTGATCTCATCTCCGTCCGATGTCCTTGGCCCTCCTCGTTTTCCCCATCACCCTCCACTACTTTGCGCTCACCCTCCATCACCTCCTGGCTAGTCCGGTATCTCATACGCGCCCGCGGTTTCGGTTGTATGCCCTCGCAAAACTGAATGCGGGGTCTCCAGACACCCCAACTTCGAAAAAGATGGAGAAGAGGGTGGGAGGTGGGAGAGCAAGCAATGTCTGAACTGGCGCGGAGTGGGAGAGTGGAGCCGTGGCGTGGAAGCCGTCGTGGAACACCATTTGTGGACGGTCGATAGGTGGAGTATCCGTGGTACCAGATGCGCATGTACTCAACATGGGGGTTGCTTGCTGTCCTGTTGTGCTCGCGACATGCATCCCATCCCTCATAACTTGCATAAATGTCAACGTGTTTTGCAAGGATACGTGTCTGACCTTCACACCTTCAATATGCCCCCTCGTTATACGGAGTATCTTTCCCTCTCTCGCTCTCTCGCCCTATTGTTGCCGCTCACACTTTCCCTCTTGCGAGTCGTCTCATCCCAACTTCACATCAGCGCTAATGGTGGGGGGCATGAGTAGCCCGTAGAGGAGTGCGGAGTCCCTTTCTCCGTAATCTCTCTCTGCGTCTTCCACAGCCACGGTACTCGGGCGATCTCATTAATTCTGGCACAGCTTGCAATGAGTGCGCAGTCCTCGTCGAACACTCGCGCGCGCGAAGATCGGTCCTTCCAATCAAAGCTGAAGCTCTCCGGTGGCGCGAATGATAGACCTATCGCAACGTCAAAAGTTGGGGGTGGAGCAGTGGGGAGGGGGGTATGGACTGCCCATACCGACGGCGCCGGGAGATGATACAATATGAGGAAGGTCGCAGGGCGACATCAAGGTGTGTCTGTGGATATACCGTACGGCATCCCCGAGTAATAACATGCTGGAAATATTCCGCGTATACTGCGTATACTTGCGCTTTGCGCGGCCATGTCGGTAGTATTGCAGCTATAGCTATAGTTATGGGGTGATATGCACCATTATTGATGTCTATTCCTTTTGGAGTGACTTCCCTTGTCCCCCTCCAGAACGAATCTCAACAGTGTGTGTCACGTGATGCTATATACCAAGTGTGATATATTGGGCATCCCCAGGTCTCTCTGTCGCATACTTTGTACGTACAGCATCTGCAGACTGTGGTGTGGTACAGTCAGGCCTTACGAAGGTCATCAATCGCTGTCATCGCTATCACTTTGCAATATAAACCCCCATCCAAGTACAAGGTATTAGCTCCATGTGACGGGGATCATTTCTGTGCTTTGAGCACAATCCCCGTACTATCCCAGTGCCTCCCAATAGTTTGGCGACGGCATAGTAGGGTGCCTCATAATTCTACGGAAATAGTGGCTTGATGGGATTCCCCAACCTTGACGATATTGACAGCCGTCTCCACCGAATCCACAACTGGACAACCTTCATGATATCAGATGGAGCAGGTGATAACTCGTATCCCAAGGATCTCCGTCCGAGGAATGAGGTTCTCCACATCATAGCCAAGACGTTTTCAATAGCGTCTTCGCGCCGATGACATTGGCATTGTCCAGACCACAGAGATCTATGCAAGGAACTTCCCATAGTCACCTGACAGCAAGACAACGTTTAGTTGATTAAGCTGCAGCTGAACTCGTACGCCAGAACAAAACCCCGCTCCTTCTAGCTGGGATATGATGCTTCTGGAAGCCGGGTCTGAGCACAGCCAAAAGGACGTGTGGCAGTATACAGCAAGTCGACTGTCGATCTCATCATAGCACTTGCCACGATCTTAGACCTATGCAGCTGTAGCCTGTAGGAACGCGAAGCTGGTGATGCCTTGGCACCTATCGCGGGGAGGCAGGGTAATTGGGATGCACCGGAAGAGTCCAAGATGAGATTGGTGCATGCCGACGCGGGGGCGGAAAGAGGCTCACAGGATCCGGCATCGAAAGAGCGGGGATAGCACATAACTCCAGCCACAGATCTGCCCAGCGCAGCTGAAAACGGCGACTGAGCATACCGAATCATCCATGTTCCATCCCGCAAGGCGGGGTTTGCTCGGCCAAATCCAAAGCTTGAAGGCACCCATGAGATCGACTCGGGCGTTTATCGATATGACAGCTTCACCGAGTTGCCGTCTGATGGACTGGCCGCGCCCCCTCCATCCCGTCCTACCCCACTTCCCCACACTGAGAGCTTCTCATGATCTATTCACGTGTGGGCAGATATCGCCACAGAGGGGCTTTTTCTGTTCTTCTGCCAAGTATCAGTATATTGCTCGCCACATCTCCAGGTCGTATGACAAGCTTACGCAGTACGTAGTCGTCTGCAGACCGCTGCAGGCCGGAGATTTTATCGGCTTGTTGCGGCTAGCGAAGTGTATCTACTATATATCGGTGTAGATCATCCCCTGTACCATATATTGTGCCTCAATTGACCCTGTCAAGCGGTCCTCCGAGGAGCAGGATTTTGTTGGAGATCCGACGACTCCGCGGCGCCGTAGCTCAAAAAAGATAGTGGAAACCAGCAAAGCGCTTAGACAAGAATGGAGACGGATCACCAAGAGGAGCTGGTAAGTGGCCAGTAAACAGAACACAGGCCTCACACCGCAAGGATCTCGGGCGGTACTCGGAGTTTACCCCAGAAGGGCGGAGGCGGGACGCTCACTCACTCACGGTAAGCGTCAATGCCGTGCATCGGCAAAATAGAAAGTGAGACCATACTCGGGGCACCCCTCTTCCTTCGTCCCCTCGTCCCTTGCCACCCTCGTCACAACCACAACGATCTGGTTGACCCGCAGCTGTTTGGCAGTTATATGCGGCTTAGTCAGGTAACAGCGGTTGGGGTAGGAAGCTGCGGGCCGCTTCCCCTGCAGCCTGTCGCTTCTGCAGTGAGTGTGGGGGAATGCGTGAGACATCCGTGGGATGTTGTTCTAGGAGTATTATCCGCTGCCGACTTCAATTTTACTCAAGAATTTTTGAATAGCCTCATTCCTATCGATGTTAGGGTAAATAATTCTAAGGAATAAGTCAGCTTTACAAAGCAGATTGCTTGCTTGCATTCTTTTTCATCGTTCCTTAATGAATGCAATGCGACCGTCAACGGAGAACAAGGGTGGAATGGGCCATCTCTCACAGCTGACGACGAATGTTCTTTCATATACCACCAGTACCAGGGATAAAAATATAGTGCCGTTTATATGTCCGTCGGTTTGATTCATGCTGCCTTGGACTTGAATCTATGACAATAAAATAAGCAATGCGAGGCCTCCTGTATCGATTTAATGTGATCCAGCTCACTCGCTGGATGATCTCCAGTTCCAGTTCCAGTTCGTCTCATTTGCGGTGCCCGTTTTTGAAGAGAGAGGTACAGCAGTACAATAACTACTCATCGCGGTCCGATATCCGAACTTCAGAAACCGTATCAGGGACCTTACAGCCAAAATGCAGCCACAATGCGTCATTTTCCAGGGTTTGATACTGGGCAGCAAGCAGCATCCCGCGCGTCCTGTGGCTGAGGCATCCTTGGCCCGCGCATACCTTCAGCTGAAGAATATACTTGAAATTCTCTCTAAGCCTCCTGCACGAGTAAATGAATGACGACCCAATGGTATGAATCTCAACGGCTCGGAGATTTTTGGGGGCCTGCAAGGGGATCACGGATCGACAGAAGGTGGCCCGGGGAGCGCAGGAGATCTTCCGAACTCTAATAAGGAGCAGGAGGGATGTGAGGACCTGTGTGTTGGATATTGATTCGGTCAGGGGCGCATATCTGGAATTCGTATATGCTTGAAATGTTTCAAGCGGACGCACTGAAGAAGTTCCGAGAAGAAGACCCATCTGTTGGGACACTGGCACAGCATGTTGGTTATGTAAGCCATTCTCCTTTTGCATCAACGTCAAAAGCACAGGCATAGCAAATAATAGACTTCAAAGAACTTGTGTAGCTATCTTTGTTTCATGATATAATGAGAAATCAGCATTGGCATAGCTTCGAAGAGATCCACTCAGCCTCTCTTCATTGAATATCCTCAGAACAAATGATTTCGGGAAAATGAAAGCAAAAAAGTCCATAATCTCTGTTCCACAATGACAAAGGCAACTGCTAATTTGCCATGCAGTAGCTTCCCATAGAAGCCTACTCAGACTTCACGTCGACCTTTGTTTTATCTGTGGATAATTAGCAAGGAATATGTCTCTTGTGCAATCAGTAAACATACAGAATGCAACATAGTTCTTGATGTGATTCGCCTTCTCAAACGTCTCTGGGTAATACCAGGCAGCGTCTTTCAATTCAGTCTCTGTCATGATATTAGTTCGATCCTATCATATGGGAGGAGCTACATACTGCCGGTGGTGATATTGTAGTAGGAGGCGTCGCCCTGCTGCCACGTCAGCCCCCACCCCGTACCACAAGTCTCAACTAATGCAGGAAATAGGGGATCGTGATAGAGGCTTATGTATAGAGGCTCATGAACAAAGGCTCATGAGTAGAGGTTCATGAATAGAAACTTATGAATAGAGGCCCATCAGAGTCTCACGGACACAGTCTCATGGATGGAGGCTGATAGATAGCAATTCTTGAATGGAGTTTGGGTATTATACCTTCCAAGGGCAATGGGTATGAGTGTCAGACTTCGTGAAGACCTTCTGATCAACAGAACTGCCATAATCGTCAGTACAACCAGCTTCAGCCCCATATATCGAGCACGAGTCAGTCACATACGCCGGAGGGAACTAATCCACCCTACTATTAGCCATCTTGCATATGGATAGTGGCATGTTGAGGCTCATTATGCATACATAAATATTTCCCTCAACAACTTCGTAGTTGTCAGTCTCGGCAATCACCTGCCCGTTCACAGTAGCTGTGGCATGCATGGTGTGATGATTCTTGCAGTAGTGTGTGTGATAAAAGTGATGATATTTGGCTGAAGCACAGAGTCTTGAATGAAGTAGCAAGGCTACCACGATGAATCCTTTGAATATGAAGCTTTATAGTTGTCGGATGATTATGTGATCTTGCTCGGTAATCCAAGTTCTACGATGACGAATGAGGTTGATGGAACCTGAGCTGTTTCATGCGGGGTATGCATCACTTTCTTCTGGAAACATACAGCTACAGCAGCAACCACAGCAGCAATGATTCTGATTCCACGGCCTCGGCCTCGGAACCAGCGGTGAAACAATTGTCTTGGTATAAAGTTTTTTTTATAAATAGCTTCAAAAATTTAACGCCCACCCAGGTCATGCTGTGCCGGATTTGCACGTCCCTGCAGATGATTTACGCAGGGCCCCAACGCCCAACGGATCTAATCTTATCTCGTCCAATGTGACCTCTCAGCTGCAAAAAAGAAATGACGAGTTTTTTGCAACTATTGCATTCTCATAGCTTTGATTGATCAATGCCATCACGGCACTTGCATGCACTGCAGTCTAATCAACCTCGTCACAGGACTTGACCTGCGCACGACAGCCCAGAACCAGAATTTACTGTGGAAACAATCATATAAGCACTGTCGTTGGCCATAATCCACGACGGCGTCGGCGCTAGTTTGTCAAAGCGCGGAACGTTCCGCTGTTAGACTTCGATTATGAATTGAATGTGGCGGCGATGGCTTCGAATTCGAAATGCAGCTCAGACATATAGTAGACTTGTCGTAAATTACCTATCGTTATCGCCAGATACGCCATTGCGTAGCGTGTATATATTCCTTTCTTTCCCCTTGCTTCCTCTTATTTCGATCTCAAGCAACAACAAGCTGCCTTTCCTTTGCACAGCTTTGCTTTGTAGCAATCATTGAATCGCCACAATGGACTCCAAGCAGTTCAAGGAGGCCGCAACATCAGCGATTGATGAGAGTGAGTAGTATCACTGCCCATGACAAGGAAGTAACATACTGATCTGGAGCAGTTGTCAACTACTATGACACCCTGCCAGACCGCAAGGTCTTGTCCAGTGTTGAGCCCGGATATCTCAGGAAGATCCTCCCATCCGGTCCTCCTGAGAAAGGAGAGTCATGGCAAGATATCCAGAAGGACATCGAGGAGAAGATCGTGCCTGGACTGACTCACTGGTATGACCCCCTCCCACTTCCTTGTGCCTTGTCCCTTTGATTCCGCACCCCGCCAGTCCATTCTAACACGGACAGGCAACATCCAAACTTCATGGCTTTCTTCCCTGCCAGCAGCTCCTTCCCAGGCATGCTGGGTGAGCTCTACTCGGCTGCATTCACTGCCCCGGCCTTTAACTGGATTTGCTCCCCTGCTGTCACTGAGCTTGAGACAGTCGTCATGGATTGGCTTGCCAAGCTCCTCAACCTCCCAGACTGCTACCTCTCCACTGGGGAGGGTGGTGGTGTCATCCAGGGTTCCGCCTCAGAGGCAATTGTAACCTGCATGGTGGCTGCCCGTGACAAGTATCTCCGTGAGACCACATCCCACCTCAGCGGTGAGGAGCAAGAAGATGCCATTGCCCACAAGCGCAGCAAGCTCGTTGCCCTTGGCAGCGATCAGGCCCACAGCAGCACCCAGAAGGCTGCCCTCATCTCCGGCGTCCGCTACCGCTCAGTCCCTACGACCCTCGAGAACAACTTCGCCATGACCGGTGACGCCCTGCTGAAGACGATCAATGAGCTCAGAGCCAAGGGCCTCGAGCCCTTCTACCTCACCTGCAGCTTGGGAACGACCTCCACCTGCGCCGTCGATGACTTCTGCTCCATCGCCAAAGCCCTCAAGACCGCAGCTCCACCCGGCATCGGCGAGATCTGGGTTCACGTTGATGCCGCCTATGCTGGTTCGGCCCTCGTCTGCCCGGAGTACCACCACCTGACCTCGCACTTTGGAGAGTTCCACTCCTTCGACATGAACATGCACAAGTGGCTTCTGACCAACTTCGACGCCTCCTGCCTCTTCATCCGCAAGCGCAAGGACCTCATCGACGCCCTCAGCGTGACCCCAAGCTACCTTCGCAATGAGCACACCGAGAGCGGCCTGGTCACCGATTACCGCGATTGGCAGATCCCTCTCGGCCGCCGCTTCCGCAGCTTGAAGATCTGGTTCGTCATGCGCACCTATGGTGTCGAGGGAATGCAGGCGCACATCCGTCGCCACGTCAAGCTGGGCGATCTCTTCCATGGTCTTGTTAAGAAGAGAGCCGATTTGTTCACCGTGATTGGCGAGCCTAGCTTTGCATTGACGACGTTTGCTCTTACTCCCAAGGATGGGGAGGATCGCGAGGAGGTGAATCGCGTGTCGAAGCAGGTCTATGAGGCTGTTAACAATGGCGGTGTTATTTATATCACCAGCAGTGTGGTGGGTGGAATTTACATTCTTCGTGTGGTCAGTGCGAATGAGCTGGCTGAGGAGAAGTATGTTCTCAACGCCTTTGATATCATTGTGCGAACCACCGAGGAGGTTCGTACCCTCAAGATCGCGAATGGATCGAATGGGGTTAACGGCGTGAAACCCGTCAATGGGGTGAATGGAAAGGTTCCTCAGCAGTTGGTGGAGGAGGGAGGTGCTAAGGGGCTCGGAGAGGTGACGGACGTCAATGAGCTTGCGAAATAAAAGCATTAAGCGTTTCCAGGATAAGAGAAAACGAATTTGACGACAGCAGGAAAGAAACTCCACTTATCAATTTATCACAACAAGCGTACACTACTAGACCGCAAGACACAGGTTCCAGGTTTGGCGATACGTTATTTTTCAGAAAGATCCAGGAAGGTAGATAGGGTAACCAAAATATCAAGCTGGTACATCGTAATATTATTTCCGTCCCCATACTGCAAAGTAACGTGTATAACCACCTGGGTATAATCGTCTTGACTTCCCCCGTCCAAACGCCCGCTCAACCCCGTTTACTCGAGGCAAGCACCAGCCTATCGTACAGTCTATAGCTGCGATCGTATCGTTTACTCGTCCTCGTTCTGCCAACATATAATAATTCCATGATCGCGTATAATCTCCTTTCCTTATCCACCAAAAAATCCAGGCCATTTATTCCTCCTCTTCAAACCGGCAGTGTCTCGTTGCCAAGCCCAGGCACACGATCCACAACCATCCCGATGTACGGACCGATAACGGGAATGTTGCGCATGAAGCCGAGGATGGTGCCGATGAAGTCGCCAAAGAGGATGAAGATGCCGTACAGCTCGACCAGGAACCCGATCAGCGGCCAGCGCAGTAAGATGAGCAGGATGCCAGCCGCGAAGGCCGCAGTGCCCTTCAGCTTCTGGCGACGCGCGAAGAATAGGAGTGTCTTGGCCGGGCCGATGATGGCGGTCAGGCCGATGAGAAAGAGGATGTTGCCCATGGCGAGCATGGCGCGGTCGAAGAAGAGGAAGACGCCGAAGATGAGGAAGAAGGCGCCTGTGCTGCTGTGTTAGGGGTTTGTTGGCACGGGAAGGAGCGGCGGGATGAGCTTACCACCGGAGCAGAAGGCGACACCGACCTCTGTGTGAATGTTAGTATGTAATCCCCATTGCGAAGTCTGTTCATGAGCGGAGTATGGCGACAGGCGCACAGTGGGAAAAAGGGGCTGCAGCTGGAGATGGGGATGTGGGAGCGCGACGTACTCTGCGAATCTGATAACCACATGGTAGGCATATTGGCGGTATTTCGAAGGGTCCTTCTGTACAGTATATGGCAACAGAAATATAAATTAGGGCTTCAAGCGGACACAGAGAAGAAGAGTGTGAAGGAGGAGAGGTTCCTTTTTTTTTCTCGAGGGCGCAGCGAGATTACGGCGGCGATAAACTCGTAGATCCCAGTCCGGCCGCTGATAATGGGGGGGACGTGCACCGGATTGAGCTGAAGTGGGGTCGGGGGCTGTATAAATAGCTCGGTTTTGTAGGCGATGATCCGTTTCAATACAGAAATTTCTTCAATACCATTTGGAGATCAATAATGGAGAGCTGAACACCACGACGTCGGCGAGTCCACAACACAATGTGGCGGCTTCGGTGATTGTGTTGTCCTTCTTGCTGGCACATTGTGTGTGCGGCGGGTGCCTGGACCAACAGCCACGGGAGGGATGGATATCTGTCCTGATGTGTGGTGTGGTGTCTTGGACCTCAACTTGCGTCGTATGACGGTAGGCTGCATTTCATTGTTTTATTCCTTTGTTTATTCTATATACGATTCTACGATCCCAACGATCCTACAATCCTATTCACGAATCCATACATGCCGGATCACCTAGCTTTAATAGCTATGGTAACTGAGAGTTTATCCCCAATATGCTCTCGGTACCCCGTCAAGGCAAAGAACACCCGGGGTACTCGCACTCTACGGAGTTGTACCCTACGATCGCTATTAAGCCGGAGCGCTTCCGAGGATGCGGTTGTTGAAAGACAGTTGCCGTATGGAATGAGCTTGACTGTGATGATCTCACAACGAAACAAACATGCCGTCTTGTCTGTCTAGCTTCATATATTTCACATGGAAGTATAGACCTTAGATTGAGCATACATACCCCCTTATTTAGCTATCCCATAGTTTTATGAATCCGATGCCCTGTATCAACCAGCGCCGTTCCTGCCTTAAACTCCGTGCTTGAGTGACTCCATGCCTCAAATGACCAATAGCCAAATGCCAAATGTGCTCCCATAACCCTCACACAACATATCCCCTCCCCCCTCACTTCAGAATCGTGTGCGCCCCTCTAGCCTCCAGGTACTGTTCCGCAACACCCTGTCCCAGGGTCCTCAGCACCGCAAACACCTCCTTATTATGATACCTCAGCCTAGTCTTCGGATCCGTATACGGCGCCACCAACCCCGTAATATCGCAGTAGTGCTTCGGATGCGCCAGCGTCGGCGCCGACTCAATATTCATATACGTCGCTCCCGGCCCAGCGCCCCACCCCCCAACCGTCGTAGCCTTCGCGTTCATATTCCGCTCCAGCACAAGCTTACTCAAGTTCCTGCTCGCCTGCGCCAGGTTCGGGGGCTGACGCCTGTCGGGCGCGCTCGAGGCGGGCGTCGAGTCGCCCGCGGTGGAAGTGCCGCCGGACTCGTCGCCGCCGGGGGTCGCGGCGCCGCTGTTGTCTTGGGTGGGCATGAGGGAGGAGGCTTCTTTGCGAGAGGAGTCGCCGAGGATGGTCTTGATGTTTTTGTTGCGGCGCTGGTTGGGCTTCCAGGAGGGGTTGCGGAAGGAGCGCGGGACGTGGTTGATGTCGAGCTTCTCGATGAGGGCTTGGTGGGCTGCTTGGGCGGCGGCGATTTCTTCGGCCGCGGGGTTGATTGGGGGTGGCATTTTGGAGGAGGGGTTGGTTGTGTCGGTAGTAGTTGTGTGTGTTGAGTATGTGAGGTTTCAATGGAATGCCCTTTGTGCCGTTTGCGATCGAGGTTGGCTTGTTGGTGATGCGAGTGAGGGAACTGGATATATGTATACTGCCAGCCGTCACCGCCATTTGGGCCGATTCGCGTCAACAACACCGCGTTTGGATGACCAGGATCGCTTTTAGTTTCCTGCAACTTCACTAAGACAAACAAAATGGTAAGTCTAGGATAATGTTGATGTCTGCACATTTACTAATTGGAGCGATTATAGGAAAGCCCTCATGAGCACCAGCAGAACCTTCTGCTGTCCCGAATCATCACCAACGTTGTAAGTTGGGCAGCTCCAGTACATACTACGAAGCTAATAATCGCCCAGGAGAAGCTCAATGAAGCTATTGTACTTCTCAACAAGGGCCTACAAGTAAATATTTTTATGGGATATGTAAGAAATTAAGCTAATACTATCCCAGGAAATCAACATCCAAAACATGAACGTGGAGCTCGTTGCACAGATGTTTAAGAACTACCAGTCGAATGTGCTCTTCCACCTTGAAGGTAGGGCTTCCATACAATGCAGCTGAGAACTGTAACTGATTTATTACCTAGCAACGGACAACCTGAAGGAGCCATCATAGGGAGGAGGCACGAGCGGGGTTGTTGTGACGGGAAGGGAGTGACGAATTGGATGAGGCGCTGGGAGTCTTTGTTACTCGGTTTTATACCTTCTTATTAAGAAAGAAATGGCAGATTTCATACAAATACATTTATTAAACGTGTAATGCCCGATAAACACTCATATATACACAAAAAGTTGAATTATATCCCACCATCGCTGTTGCTATCACAGCCTCGTGCCCGCCGTCGTGCCTCGAAAACTCTCAGCCTCGCCCATTCCTATCGCGCCCCAAATTCCACACCGAACCTGGGCCCTCAACAACGTCGCATTCACGTCCAGCGGCGCCGCTCATAATCTCAGGCCTAGATTGAATGAACGCAGCAGCCACGACTGCCAAATATAGTTAACCCCAACCATAAACGACAGCCGTCAATGGCTTGAACAACAAATACCATCCACAGCCACCAACATCACTACCTCCATGGCGCCCTCAGCCATATCTCCGAATGCCCCAGAGGTATCGACGGGACGGCCAGAAGCTGGACCTGCAAAGATATATCCCGTCAAGGAAGCACATTTCGATGGCTACCAGGCGCCACAGCCAGACGGATACAAGAAAGCACGGCAGATTGGGAGCGACAACGTCGCGATCGTTATTGACAATGGTAAGATCGCAGCAGCAGCCTACAATCCTCACACCATGTCTCCCTACTGACAACACACGTCCAGGTTCATCGGCAGTCCGCGCAGGATGGTCATTTGAGGACAACCCCCGGTTCTCCATCCCACCCGTGATGGCAAAGTATCGAGACCGGAAGCTAGGCAAGACCTTCGCCTTCGCCGGCTCCGACGTCTACGCCGACACCACCGCACGCGGGCACATGCGTAACGCCTTCGAAGCCGGTAGCGGCGTCGTCTGCAACTGGGACGTGATGGAGTACGTCCTCGACTACCTCTTCCTCAAGCTCGGCATCGACGGCCAAAACGGCGCAATCGACATGCCCATAGTCATGACCGAGACCCTCGCCAACCTACCGTACTCGCGCAAATCCATGAACGAGATTCTCTTCGAGTGCTACGGCGCCCCTTCCGTCGCCTACGGCGTTGACGCGCTTTTCTCGTATGCTCACAATGGCGGAAAGACGGGTCTCGTCGTCTCCTCCTCCCACAGCTCCACGCACCTGATTCCCGTGGTCGACTCGCGCGCTCAGCCCGCCCAGGCTACGCGCCTGAACTGGGGAGGGTCTCAGAGCGCAGAGTACCTGCTTAAGCTGATCCGGCTGAAGTACCCAGGATTCACGGGGAAGCTGAACTCTTCGCAGGCGGAGCACATGGTTCGCGATCACTGCTTCGTGGCGCAAGACTATATGAAGGAAGTCGGCGAGGTGCTCGACTGGACGGGTCTCGAGGACCGCGACGTGGTCATCCAATACCCGTACACCGAAGAAGTAATCATCCAGAAATCCGAAGAGGAGCTCGCGCGCGCCGCCGAGAAGCGGAAAGAGTCCGGCCGCCGCCTACAGGAGCAGGCCGCCAAGATGCGTCTCGAGAAACTGGTCCGCAAGGAGCAGGAACTCGACTACTACCGGTCCCTCCAGACGCGTCTGGCGTCCGAGAACAAGAAGGAGAGTAAACGCCTCCTCGACGCCGAGGACCTGAAGGACGAAAATGCACTCGCGAAGACAATCAAGGAGCTCGACCTCTCGATTCGCAAATCCCGGCAAAAAGATGTCGGTGGCCCTGAAATCGAAGATGACGCCGAACCCCCGAATTACGACCTCCTCGAAATCCCCGACGAGGACCTCGATGACGCCGGAATCAAGCAGAAACGCCACCAACGCCTCATGAAATCCAACCACGAAGCCCGCGCCCGGGCCAAGGCCGAAAAAGCCGCTGAAGCCGCTCGCGTAGCTGAAATCGCGCGTCTCGACCAGGAGCGCCGCGAGGGCGATTTGGAGGGGTGGTTAGAGGAGCGACGCGCCGCGCGCGCTGCGCTCGTCAAGAAACTCAAAGAGCGTGAGCGCCTCAAGGCTGATCTGGGGAATCGCAAATCCCTTGCCAGTCAAATTAGGATGAAATCCATCGCCGCACTCGCCTCCGACACGCCCGCCAAAAAGCGCCGTAGAGGAGGCGACGACGATACCTTCGGCGCGGACGACGACGATTGGGGAATCTACCGCCAAGTCGCCAACGACGGGGATAACTCCGAGGACGAGGAGGAGGATCTGGGTGCTAGTCTCAAGGCCCTCGAAGCGGAGTTGCTGGAGCACGATCCCGATTTCACGGAACTGCATACCCATGATGCGCAGAGCGATTGGTCGACTTCCCTCATCCACGCCTTCCTGCGCGGGCCACGCGCCTTCGACGCCGGCTCAGCGAAGGAAGGACACCAGCTCCACCTCAACGTTGAGAGGCTCCGCGTCCCGGAGGTAGTATTCCAGCCCTCGATCGCCGGGCTGGACCAAGCAGGCATCGTGGAGATCGCAGCGGATATCCTGATGCAGCGTCTCGGCGGGCAGGTGGATATGCGGGATGTATTCATGACGGGGGGAGCAACGCTGTTTCAGGGCTTTGAGGAGAGGTTGGCGAGGGAGTTGAGGGCTGTGTTGCCGGTTGAGAGACAGGTGAAGGTGAGGAGGGCGAAGGATGCCGTAGGGGATGCGTGGAGGGGGGCTGGGGGGTGGGTGGGGAAAGAGGGGGGGGCGGAGTGGAAGAGGGGGAGGGTTACGAGGGGGGAGTGGTTGGAGAAAGGGGGGGATTATATTAAGGTTTGTCTTTTTGCTTTGCTCTCCGTCTTCTTGCCTGGAGGGGTGGAGGATTTTGGTATGGACATTGGCTAACTGTGCGTGATAGGAACACAATTTGGGGAATGCGTACTCGTACTCGGCTCTTTGAGGAAAAAGGGTGGAGGGATGGAAAGGGGGGAATGGGTCGGTTTGATTATTTAGCGTTTTGATCGAAGGTGAGGGGGCGTGTGCGGGAATGGAAACGGGATAACAAAAAAATAGATGAGAGATAGTTAGTTGCTATGCTATGACTTCTTTGGCTACTTATCTCCTGATTCCTTCTTCACTAATTCTACTTTCCAAAGCAAGGTATCGATTCGCGCTGAAAGCTTGGTTAGCCCGTTTTTTAAGACTGATGGAAACAACTATAAAACCGGCACTCTTGTCCTCCTTATATTATACCCTCAACCACAGCTCTTTTGTGAAAAGAATCCAACAAACGACTGGAGGTTCCGCGCCGTCTGACGGCTTCGTGTATCACAACCGCATTACGCCATGGTGATCTATGGCTGGGTAGATGGAGGCGAGAGGGCGTGTGTCAACAACAGCAGAACAGCGCGATGGCAGCAATTCCCGACTAGAAAAGCCTCACAGTGAGAAGAACAGGGCAGCAACAGCAAGATAAAGCCTAAAGACGACAAGAATCGCACACCCCCTCCAATTCACGTAGGAGGCCCACGAGTGTAAGTTGATCATTCCTAAGCTTTGTAAGTTGATCATTCTTGAGCTTCTCGATACAGCCAACGGTATCAAATGTTCAAATATTTTCTTTGCTCCTGGGGGCAAAGTAAGTCAAGGACTCGCACGAGTTATTGATAAAAGCTGCACTTATTTTGCTGAGGGGGTTCGGGATCTCCTGGCTAGTCGGAAGGATGGGGGTGGTTGTGATAGATTTACACTGACTGGACTCGTAAGTAAAGGGATGGTCTAGCTTTCCTTTCTCCCTATCATTTTCTCTAGCAGGCTTTGGAGGCATGTTCGGAATTGAAGTTAAGTCAACTCCACTTCTCCCCATCTCATACGCCTACCCACCCCTGTCATACAAGAATAAATAGCCACCGCACATCCCATACATTGCACCCTCCAACGAGCCAGTTGACGTTGGCATGGAAAAGATACCATACAAAAATGAAAATTACCCTTGCTCGCGGGGTACGCGACAAAGATTTATGCTATAGCAGCCTGAGACGCTCATCATCCCTGGGGAGTAGATGGCAACGGCGGGGGTGGAGGGCAACGACGACAGAAGTAGGTGAGAAGAGAGAGTTCTCGACAAGAAATGCCTTATGGCCACAAGAAGAGGTGGCGGTAGCAACAACACGGTCCTTTCAGCCCAGAATTCTGCACATCTAAAGCACTGGGAATGGATCTTCCCACCTCCAGGTCGGTATCCGCCTCCGTTCTGGTCAAAAGGGTTACTCTGACCTTAACAACAAAAAAGTAAGAGTTTCATCCCCGCCTCCACCCATCCACATTTCGTTAGGCTGAAGTTCTCGAATCTCCATACCTGCCACAAACATTCTGGTCCTTCCCTGTGCCTCCTTATAACTTGTGTAAGCGGGGGACCGGCTGTTAAAGATTTTATGGTTCTCAGCATCCATCTCATCTTCTTCTGTATTGCTTCGGGTATCCATTCTTGGGTTTGGAGATAATCCAGCTATCGAGGCTCAGCTTCTCTGAAAGCAGGTTCCGGGTGTATGGATGCTGACTGGGATCCTCGGATGGAAAGGGGTATCATACACATATCACCATCGCCAGCACCATGTATTCACAACCAAACACCACAAAAAACAATATCGTGTGAAACGCACTCACGCGTAATGATTCCAGAACATCCAACGCCAAAACCCAGATATAACGCCCCCTCCCCCAACCCGCCCCAAATGCCCAATGCAGCCATCCCATCCATCTACCCAAGAATCCTTTCCGCCCAAACCAAACCAAACAAATCCAACCCATCCCATCAGCCCCCTATCACAACAAACTCTCCCCTCCTAACACAAACCCCAAAAACCTAACAACACTTCCTCCCCTTCCCCTTCTTCCCCCCCACCCCCGCCCCCCCAATCGGGCCCCCACCTTCCTCAATAACATCCTCCATCCCAATCCCCGTCGGAAACCCCAACCAACTCCTCCTATCCCTCCCGACCCTAAAACTCCCCCTCCCCGCCTCCCCTCCAAAATATTCCCCCCCTTCCTCTGCCCCCGCAGCCCCTTCACCTTCCTCCTCCCGTTTCCTGGCTTGTTCCACCAATTTCCGCGTAACGACTCGAAAGACTTCATCGACGCCTTCGCCGCTCTCAGCAGAGATCTCATGACAACAATCCCACCCAACATCCTGTCCCCAGAACCCACTACTCCGTTTGCTCGTAGCGCCCGGACTCCTCAGCTCCCCCGTCCCACCACTCGTCGCTCTCGACCTCCCCCCAAACCCCGCCCCATCCGCCGTAGCAGTCAAGGGCGGCGTCGAGCTGAGCGCCGGATACAGATTCTCCGCCACATACGCAATACACCTCTCAAATGGGACCTCCCTCTTCCCCGGCTCCCTCGCCACAATATCCGCTTTGGTGCCGACGACGTGTAGCACAACGCCCTCTCCCAACTCCCGCCGTAGCTCCGCTAGCCACCGGCCCATTTCCTCGAAGCTGGCTGCGTCGGTGATGGAGTAGCAGATTATACACGCGTTCGCTCCTCTATAATACAGTCGCGAGATCGACCTGAACCGCTCCTGTCCAGCAGTATCCCAGAGTTGCAGCCGCACAAGGGTGTTGGAATCGGTGTCGTGGATTCGTTTCGTCAAGAAGGATGCACCGATTGTGGAGGGGTGGGGAGGGAGGAAGGTGCTGTGGATGTAGCGATGGACGAGGGAGGTTTTGCCGACGCCTTGGGCGCCGAGGACGACGATTTTGGCTTCGAGGGTGGTGGGCATTGTGGGCGGGGTGTGGGGGGTGACGTGGGGTCAGGTGTGGTGAGGTTTGTGGTTGTGGTGGTGGTTGTTAGGGGCGCATCTCAGCGTGGTGGGGTGGAGGGGGTGAGGTGTAGCCTTGTGAGGTTGAGGTGCATGGGCGAGGGCGATGTTGTTGTTGACTCGGTGCGTGTAGTTTTGTTGATGCTCGTAGTGGTGGTGGTATATAAGCTCCTCGTCGAGCAAAAGTGTATGAAGCCCGAGTGTCGAGTATCGAGTGTTGTATGCCCCGTGGCTGTAATTTAAATCCCCAAAAGTGTCAGGCTGTCGACGCGTGCACGATAGATAATGTGAGGGCGCCGGAAGATGTGATAGATACCAAAAGGTTGTTTCGCATCAACAATCTGCCGAGCCGAGGATCGTCGCGTGGAGGAGTAACGTGATTTGTAGTCACGTGGTTAGGTTAGTGATAGCCGCTTGGATCCTCGAGAAATGAAAGAAGGGAAGCAGGATCCAAGGATCGAAGAAGGATGACAGATGACAGATGATTTTTGTCTTTTTGGCTATTTTAAGCAACTTGACAGCGGTAGAGAGTGAGTGGCTTTCTTCTTTTCTTTGTACGAGTAAACACACACTATGGTACTTGTGGTGTCTTATAACTTGGCAAGGCTGACTGCCAAATTCCGTCAAGCTTTTATAATACTGGGGAATTTCAAATTACTCAAGCCTTCTTTGTTTGCTTGTTATTCTTGCTATTATTCTTTCTTCTTCGCCGGTGATCACGGTGATTGCTATGCTGCGGTGATCAACTGTGATTGCTCCCTCTGCCACTGTCACCCGGAGTAGGGGTTTCACCGTGTTCCTGTCAGCATCAGGGGTTTTTTACTTAACATGACCACCGCTATAGCGTGAGTTGATCCCACGCCGTCGCTCCTGCGGCCATGTTAGTGTAGAGTCTAGTATGGACTATAGACTCTATAAACTGTCAGCTAATTTAAATCTCAGCTGAGAGCTCTGAGGCGGTTCAGTTCAGGGTCGATCTACGTTGATTTTCTATTATCGTCTCATATGACTAGGTGTACCCGAGATCATAGAGTCAGTTAGTATAATCCGTATGGTTAGTATTACCAGTATGGTCGGTAGATCAGTATAGTCCGTATAGTCAGTACGGTCAGATTTAACAATATGAGGACTATTCTATGTGTGATACAGTGTGGTAGAGGCTGACAGGAGAATAAGTAACCTTACTCTACGCCGTTCCTCCTTCTATGTATGGCCATAGGGTGTCTAGGAGCAGGATTAAAGGAACAGGATTAGATAAAGTTAGAGTAAAGAAAGTTAGAGTATTCTCTCTAACTTACAGTTCTTACCATAATCCCTTCGCCCTAGCCGCCATACTAAAACACCCTAAAACACCCTGCAGGGTACATGTCTTGTCATGTAAAGTCAACAAGGGATGATGCTATCCAGCCTTCCATAGAGAACCCTGAATGCCATCTCCGCATGTACGAGTACTGGGACTACAGTAGACGCACAGCAGAGTTATCCATTGTATGCATGCACAGTTATTTTCAGCCCAACCTAACCAACTCCTTACAAACTCCTCCGAAACCGTCCAAACACCGCTGCAGGAACACCGGAAAGCCCGCCTGAACCGCCCTGATCCGCCTTGATCCAGGGCAAGTCAAGTAACATTACACCCTGTTTCCGACGGGTCTTGGTCCCTTGGCCCTTACAGCCCTTACAGCCCTCTACTAACAAACAACACTGACCCTTACCAGAGTCCCCATACAATTGGCCACTGCGCCTTTGCGAGCACAGTCCTTTCAACTCTACTACAAGTGCCACAGCATCGTTCCGCAGTTCCGCAGTTCCGCCGCATCCGCCTCAAACCACTGTGGACATCTGGATTGTTACGGCCCCTCTTCTCCACCTTGGCGCCTCCTGTACCGCGCGCGGTTGTTGGCAGCTGCCCTGTTGTTGTCCCCAGCTCACAGACCCCAGTGGAGATGAGGATGCACGACGCGCCGCCCAGCAAAAAGTAAGACCGGCTATTCTGCCCACTCCATACAAAGCGCACAACACACATAACACGCACAACACCTCGACCTTGCCAAGCAATGGGGCGTTGTTCCTCCCTTTCTTCAGCCTCTGTCTGCCGCTCATCCAGCTCCAGCCAACGAGGAGAGGCTAGGCGCATTTCGGAAACACGGTGGTGAGGTTGGAGAGGTAGGGCGTGCGCTCCACTCTGTCTCTCTCTCTCTCTCTCTTAGTTACTGTACTTCATATATATCTTCGTCGAACTCGTCGTTTCTTCGCTCTTTCTGCGTCTTGCGTCTTTGCGTGCCTCTTATTTTGTGTTCTCTAGTAGTCCCTTTTCCCTTTCACGCTCCTTGTTCCGCCTCGGTCTTGCGTTTCCCCCCTCTTTTTTTCTCCGAACCCCCCGCCATGGCGCGACGCGCTGCCATTGCGGCCGTCCTGGCATCGGCGGCCTCTCTCGTGGCGGCTGCTTCAGTCGGCACAGAGCCATGTGCTATTGTTAGGAACCTCTACCTTCGCGGCGATGCTATCCCAGCAGCAGTATGTGTCCCTCCCATCCCAAGTCCCCCGAAGTGCCTGCTGACTCCCGTCTCCCCGCAGACCGGATTGGCATGTCTATCCTCCGTCCCCTTCGATGCAGATGTCGGCGTAGCGACTGTCCAGAACTTCCAGAAGCTCAGCGAGTTCCACTCAACCCTCGGCGATATCAAGAACCCCGGGAAGGGCTACGCAAATGCGCCCGTCGATATCATAGGCTTGCTCGACCAGTTGATCGTCGATATCAAGGCGGGAAAGTATACGAACCAATACCAGTTTGAGGAGCAGATGGCCCTCATCACGGGCCTGTCTTTTGATGGTCACTACACCTTCCTGGGCAACACATTTTACAGCTCCTTGGATTGGTACCGGGGTGGTACTGTCAATGGCGCGTACGAGGGCTCGTTGATCTCTGTTTCCGCTGATGGGAAGTCATTGCCGCAGGTTTACTTTGCCACCGACCTCACCAACCCAGATGCGTCTCCAATTGTGTCCATCGATGGACAGACTGTTGTAGACTACCTCACAAAGGAATCCAAACATCAGCTCTTCCACGACGCAGATGCCCGCTGGAACGTTCTCTTTGCGCGCCAACAGTCTGACTCAGTTGGATCCTTCGTCATGCCCTGGTTCTACCCTGGGTCTAACTTCACTGCTACTATGGCCAATGGCAAAGCCAAGACCATCCAGTGCTACGCCGCTATCCCAAAGGCTCTCAAGGAGGAATGGTCCCAGGTCATTGACGGAAAGAGCTTCTACAGTACCTTCGTTGCCCCCAAGACCGCCTCCACTTCTTCAACTTCTTCAACTTCCTCGACATCCTCGAGGTCCCTCAAGAAGAGATATGTCGAGAAGCGTCTCGTCCCGCCAAACTACCCCCAACCCGTCATCCAGCACGCAGAGAAGGAGGTCGAGCTCGGCGCCTTCTTCCTCGGCGGCTTTGGCCTCAACCAAGTCGCCGTGCTCAGCATGAACACCTTCGACCCCGTCGCCTCCGGCGACTCCGTCGAGTTCCAAGCCCTGATCCAGAAATTCCTCAAATACGCCAAATCTAAAGGCCGCACCAAGATGGTCATCGACGTCTCCTCCAACGGCGGCGGCTCCCTCTTCCTCGGCTACGACACCTTTAAGCAATTCTTCCCCTCCAAAGAACCCGACATCGGCGCACGCATGCGCTACTCCACGGCCCTGGACATAATCGGCACAGCCTTCGGCACCATCACCCTCAACGACGCAGCCACCGGCTCCTTCGACAACAACGGCCTCACCCCCGCCGACATGTACCTCTCCCCCATTCACTACACCAACTCCGTCGATGCCGACGAGCTCGCCTTCGCCTCCTGGGCCGATATGAAGGGCCCCGTCGTCATCAACAGCGCTCCTTACACCCAAATCATGCGCTACAACTTCTCCAACCCCTACCTCTACCAAGGCGACACTATCGAGTCCGTCAGCGGCTACGGCCCGCTCGCCGACGTCCCCGCGCAGCCTTACGCCGCGGAAGATATCATCCTCCTCCACGACGGCTACTGCGCCTCCACCTGCGCCGTATTCAGCGACCTCATGCGCCGCCTCGGCGGTGTCCGCTCCGTCGTCCTCGGCGGCCGTCCAGCATTCGGGCCTATGCAGGCTGTGGGTGGGACGAAGGGCGTCCTCGTGGAACCCTTCGCCGCCATCGAATCCTCCGTTGCTGCCACCCTCGCTGATTTCGGCACCACAGAGCAGAAGAAGAAATGGCTTCCCTACCTCCCCGGAAAATTCCCCATCGCCATGTCCCAACCCCCCACCGTCAACTTCCGCAGCGGCTACCACCCCGGCAGCGACACACCAATGCAGTTCCTCAACGAATCCGCGAACTGCCGCATGTTCTATACCCCCGCCATGCTGGCGAACGTGACGAATGTCTGGGAGACGGTCGCGCAGCTCGCGTGGGGCATTGGGGGCGGGTCGGGGCAGGCTTGTGTGCAGGGGAGTTATTCGGATGGGGAACCTATTGGGGAGACGAAGTCGGTGGGGAAGAAGGTCTCGAGTCCTGATGCGGTGGTGGGCGCGGATGGGAAGGAGGGGGGGGATACGAGTGAGGAGTTGGGGCTGGCGGCTGCGGGGAGTGGGAAGGGCGATACAGCTGCGACGGGGGCGAAGGAGGGCGCTGGGGTGGCGAGGGCGGTGGTGAGCTGGGGGGTTTTGGGGGGGTTGGCGCTGGTAAGTGGGTTGGTGTTGCAGATTTAGGGTTGGGGTTTTTGGGTGGGTTTGTTTAAAATGTGTTGAGCGTGGCGTTTTGGGTTGCATTGGGTGGGATTATATTATATCAATTTGTGCTATATGGGACAAGAGGAAATACTTGTATGTAGCTAGCATTATGGCTGTATGTGGGACGGGATGTCTGGGATAGACTGGGGATAATGGGGAGATCTAGAGCATATAGAATAATATATCGCTTTTGCTTATACTAACTACACTGCTGCTGCGCCGCTGATTGTGAGTAAGACTAGGGAGGGGGATTCGTATGACTCTACCCATACTCGTCGACACCGAACGTAAAAGGAAGCCGAAGCGGCCAACCACCGAGGGTTTCCATGATCATCATCATGCAATAAGACAGAGAGGCACATACAGAAGAGCAGTCCGGATGCAGTGCGGTTCATCGCATACCCGTATCCTGCTGCCCGTACTGGTGGGAGATGGATGGGACTGGAATGGTTCTCTCCTGCTGCTGCTCTGTTCCCGTCACCGCGTGCTTTTCTTGTCAAGAAAAACTTCTCGTCATACAGTTTCCGTCATCGTTGATCCCCGCCACCGCAGCCATCTACTCGTCAGAGATGGTAGGGTCCCAGACAGTCCAAAGCATGGACTTAGTCCCAATAGTTCTTTCGGTGTGGCGGGAAGTTGTGGTTCCCATTCCCACTCTTTCGGCCTGATTACTGGTTCATGTATGAGGCATAGTGGATAGTGTGCGGAATCTTCTTCCTTTTATGTACGTTTTTTTCCTTCAAAAGTAAATGATAAAAATGTAGGATGTTATGAGTGTAGAACCCTGGTGGATAGGAGGAGGGGGATATCTTATCTTATCAGTCCGTCATCTAATCGGCGGGACCAGGAACCAGGGGACGGACCGCGGGGTCGCACCTGATTGCGCAATTATTTCTATGCGACGCTGCTTACAGTAACCTAATTTGTGTGCTTATCAACACAGCGACTGACAGTTTTAGGCGGAGGGGTAGACCCCTTCGTTCACTATCTGTTGTCTTCCAAGCTTTGATATATATCAAATCCTCCTTTCCTTGTCATAGCCATGTCTACCTCTGAAGCTGCCGTCAACGGTGAACCCGTGGGGTTCAGTTATGAAAATAACGCTCTCACATGGATAAAGGCGCCAGGCACCGTCAGCAACGGCGAGGATAAAGGCTCCATCCTCGAAAGCGATATTCTAGCCATCATCCCCACATCGACTACCCCTCCAGCACACACAGTCTACACCATCCCCACCGTCTCCACGCCAGAAAACACCGCCCTCCCCGTCCCAGACGTCCAACTACACCAGACAACCCTCCTCGGCGCACCAGAGGCATTCATCTCCAAGCACCTTCTCAGCTCGCCTACTCCCCACCTCTCCCTCCCAGCAGAAGACATTCACGTCGTCATCTCTTCCAAATCCGGTACAGGAAAAGCGGCAGCGTTCTTCGAATCCGTCCTCGCGCCTGCGCTGAAAGTGTTGGGACTGGGCGAAGATGGCTATCAAGTCGTACACACCACATCGAGTGAGACGATCACGGAACTCGCGGGGGGGACACTGCGTGAGAAGGCGGGGAGGGGGGTGCGACAAACTGTTATCCTACTGAGTGGAGATGGAGGGGTAGTGGAGCTGTTGAATGGACTTGTAGGCGCTGAGGTTTCTAGGTACTACACCCCCTTCCCCCCTCCCCCCTCCCACCTCTAATAAGAAAACACCAGCTAACGCAACACCAGCACATACGCCCGCCCATCCATAGCACTCTTCCCCTTCGGCACCGGCAACGCCCTCTTCCACTCGACCCATCGCCTCCCCACCCCCCCATCCTCCCCCCTCTACCACGCCCTCACCACCCTCCTCCTCCCCTCTTCGCGCCCGCTCCCCCACTTCCGCGCCACCTTCTCCTCTGCATCCCTCCTCACGAGCGAAGGACGCATCGCTACGCCTCTCCCTAATAACACACTCCACGGGTGTATAGTCGCGTCGTATGGTTTCCATTCTACCCTCGTCGCCGATTCCGATACCGCTGAGTTGCGGAAGCATGGGGATAAGAGGTTTGGGATTGTGGCGCAGGAGTTGTTGGGGAAGCCGCATCGGTATAAGGCGGGGTTGACGATTACGTCTGGGGGGAAGGAGAGGGTGGTGGAGAGGGAGACGCATGCGTATATCCTCTGCGCCCTCGTTTCGAATCTCGAGAAGACGTTTACGATATCGCCACACACAACACCGCTGGATGAGGTGATGAGGGTAGTTCACTTCGATTCCGGGTCCGGCGACGAGATTATGAGCGTCATGACAGACGCATACAGCGGCGGGAAGCATGTGAATAGAAACGATGGATTGGTGGGATATGAAGAGGTTGAGGCGCTGAAAATTGATTTCAAAGAGGCGGCGGTGGAGGGGAATGAGGGGAAGTGGTTGAGGGTTTGTGTTGATGGGCTTATTGTGCGGGTGGAGAGTGGGGGGTGGATGAGGGTTGAGAAGGTTGCGAATGGGGGGGAGGTACTAGATATTATAGTTTAGAAGGGTAGACGGGCGCTTTAGATTAGATTTTTATGGATGGCATGGGTAAAGTATTGGAAAATTGCGAAGGCTTATAAAATCATTTACAGCTCCCAAGGCTGTGGGTATTATTGTGGTCTACTGCCAATCTCTCATATATGTCTACAAATATAAAAACTACCCCGGCAGCCTAGGCCTTCCCCCTTTTCGCCCTCTTGCTCTTCGTCTGCCCCTCAGCACCAGCAGACTCCTCTACACCATCCACACCCTCATCATCCGCCTCCCCCTCCTCCTCCTCCCTCACCCCCCTCTTCCTCGTCTTCTTCTTCCCCTGCTTCGCCACCTGCGCCGCCTCACTCAACTCATTCTTCCTCGCCCACTCCGCCGCCTCATCCGCAAACGTCCTATCCAACCCCCCACCCCCACTCGTCGCCTTCAACTTCCTCACCGCAGCACTCATCCTCTTACTCCCCTTCCCCCTATTCGCACCCACCGCACCACTCCTCGCGCCCGCCCCAACGGCACCATCAAAGTACCGCGTGATATTCGCCTGTGTCCCTTCCGCTTCGCGACGATTCATGTCTTGGATGACGGGGACGAGGACTTCATCCGTGCGCTCGGGTGTCCAGCCTATCGTGGCCATGAGGAAGGAGCGCAGGTTATCTAGATCCGGGACGCCCCATTGGAAGGGGTCGGGGGTGCTGTCTACGTCCGCGTGGAGGTATGCTTCTGTGACTGCTTTGCTCGGGAAGGCGGGGGGGAGGAAGAGCTTTGAGGCTTGGGATTTCCGGAATTTTCTACGGAAGGATGAGGTGCTATCTGCTTCCTTAGGGCGCTGATTGTGCTGCACATCGTACCACCAATCTTTGAACTCTTGCAGGCCATCAGATGAGGGGAATTCGGAGATGATTTCTAGAGCTGTGACGGGACCGATGCCAGGAAGGCCTTCGGTGTAATCGCTGCCTAGAAGGTGTGCGAATTCGATGAGTTTGTCGCGGGGTAGCGAGAGCTCTTTTTCGAGGTCGGAGGCGAGGTAGCATTCGACGAATTTGTTGCTGTTGAACATGTTTTTGTAGACGCGTGTGCCGCCGAAGAGGAAGACATCCGAATCGTCGGTGATGATTCCGTCAACCAGGCCGAGTGTGACGAGCTCGGCACATTGGGCTTCGGCTTCCATGGGGGCTGTGATGTATGGCAGGCCGAATAGACGGAGAAGCGCTTGGCATTCTGTGACCATGATATGGGATACCTCGTCTGCATCACGACGGTCTTTCTTTTGCTGGTTGCGAAGCTGTCTGAGCTCTCGCTCATAGTCTTCCTGGTTTACCTCTGGAGCCTTGTTGTTGAGGCTACTAGCAAAACGTGCGTGTTCTTCTGCTTCGAGTGCAAGATGTGCAAGTAATTCCTCGTCTTCAGGGTCGCTGAAGTCGCCAAACTCATCATCAGAAATTGTATGAGCAGCCTGTTGGTCAAAAGCGTCGTCATTCTCTGCGGTAAAGATATCTTCTTGCCCTTGGACAGTGGGAGGCGCCGCTGCTGTTGTTGGTTCATGTATTTCGACATCCTTAAATGTAGGAGAGGGGCTTTTTTCATTGGCCGCTGCCTTCGATGGTAAAACTTCCCTGGGCAATCCAGAACTCTCACTTTGCCGTTGTTTTACTGAAGGCTCGTCTCGGTCACTTTCTGACCATTCAACGGGCTCCTCTTCTGAAGGCAGGTTTGTCTCGTGGACTCTCTCTTCCAGCATGGGTGGGGTGCTTTTTTCGGCATGTTGTTGCGATATATCAACTGGCCTATTACTTATGCTGGTAATAGAACCTTGCACGGATTTCTCTTTGCTGGAGGGTGATAACCTTCCATCGGTAGCAGCAACCTTCGGTGCAGGCGCTTCGACGATCTCAACGTCACTGCCTTCATCTGAAGACTCGATCTCAATGACGCCATGATCACGCCTATACATTTTCTCCTCCTCCAAACGCCTCTCGTAATCTGCAGCATTCACTCGCTGATCTTTGGCCATCTGCTCTTTGACATCTGATCGAATATCCCCGGTACTGGCCAGCCACGGTGGAAGAGGTCTTGCCTTTTCGACGCTACCCTCACGCTCAAATCCCCCAGCCAAATCTTCATTGTCCTTTTCCTTTTCCGTACTTTTGGCCTGGTTTGGGCGGGCCTTGGCATATCCACTGAATATGGATTTCTTCAAATCGAGTTTCTCAAATGGTAGAGCCCCCCCGAACGGATTTCCAGCAGCGCCCAGCGAGGAGGTAGGCACCGATGGAGCCATTTGCTTAGCAACAGCCTTCTGCTTCCTCGCTCGAGCAAGAATATCTTGTAGGTTCTCTTCCTCGTCGCTGCTCTCGGCAGCCATGCGTTTTGGCACCGCAGCATTGGCCCTATTATTGACAATATGTATCAACCCATTCCCACTACTCTTTTGAAGTGGCCGGTGGTCTTTAGCAGACTTCTGCTCATATGAGGGCATCTGAACATCTTCAAAATCGGCTTCCTCTTCAGATTCCTCGGCCGCAAAGCTTTTCTGCAACGACATCGCAATCGCACGATTCAGCTCTTCTTCTTCGTCGACTTGCTCGCTCTCTTCGAATAAGTCTTCGGCCCCGTCTTGTTCTACAAAAAGAGAGTTTGTCGGAGCTCGAACCTTTTGCGCAGCGTCCTCGTCAGCTTGTTGGAGCGCCCTAACCTGGTCCATTTGTCTCTGGAATCGCGCTTGCTCCGTGGGAAGCCGATTGAGTCCTTCGACGGGGACATCTTCGAACTCATCGTCATCCTCGAGCTCTTCGTCTGTCGGTTTAACCTGTTTTCGTTCATGCAAAGCATCAACGTCTATCGGCTTGTTTCGTTCCCCTTGGTCTCTATCCTTGCTAACAACACCCAATGCCCATCCTCCTTCTACTCCGTCATTCTTTACAAGCATGTATTCTCGTCCTCTTTCGCCAGCAATCCTACCATTGCCCACGCCGAACATGGCCTCTTCGGCGTTCATCCCATTCAAGTTCATCAATCGCTGCGTTAATTCATTTCGTTCCCTCACTCTGTCGACTTGAAATTTCGAGAATGCCATCCTGTCCGGAAACATCTCTTCAAGTTGCTCTTTGCTCAACCCCATTCTGAGCCTAGATCTCAACCTGGCAGCATTAAGGATATTGTATCTGTCAGCAGGCGGCAAACACTTGAAAAAGTCTCCGTCAAAATCGATTTTGCTGAAGTCATACAAGTCCACGTTCTCTCCGCTATTATGCTGCCTGGCGAACTCCTCCAGCTCTTCTGCAGACATAATCCGAGGATCATTCGGCTGTCCCATATTTGAAATATCACCATTCAAATCCGGTAAATGGTATTGATCCTTCTTCACAAACTTCCGACTCTGTTGCCTCTCCTGGTTCGACATGCCTAACTCGTCCACATAGACCAAGTTCTGATCATCCGGTAGCTCCTCGTCCTCCACAGTTTCCGTAGGACGACCTCTAACCTCAATCTCACGTTTTCGTTTCTCCTCCGCCTCTTCCGCCACCCGCTGCATCTGCATCGCAAGCAGCTTCCCCGCCGTCCTCGTCGCATCATCGCGTCTCCCCTCTCTCCGTCTCTTCCGGCCCAGAATCGTCTGGCGTTTCAGCACAGGCGCGCCGCCATCGAAGACAAACACCGGTTTGATGCCGAAATACAGCAGCTTGCAGATGCGCCGGAAGAAGCCAACGACGTGGGAGTTGCGCAGCGCATTCCCCTCCTTGTCGCGCACGGCTTTTAGGAACTGGTATATCCAAATCGACGCGTCAACCGCGAGGCGCTTGCGGTTGAGAGCTTCCAGCTTCGTGGGCCTGGCGCAGGGGTGCAGCACCGACCAGAGTTGGGTCACACCCATCGTTCATGAAGGTGGCGGGTTTCTCTCGAAGGCAGTGAGGAGGTTTGTGTCGTAGGAGTCGATCCGGACGTTGCCTTTGCTGAAATATCAGCAAAGTGACTTGACGCAGTTTACGGAGACTTCGGGCATCATGTTAGCAGTTTCGTCGTCGATGCCCCGAGATTTAACTACTGAAGGCATCCATTCGCCGTCTCGACGAGTCATTGGGGTTTCGTGACGTACTTAACGCGAAGTCACGTGAGGTATTTAACGTGCTTATCGTTATCGGTATCGCTCATGGATATCAGCGTCTTGTCACTCCGAGGTGGACAACCAAAATTTTGATACCACCAACGTCTGAGCAAGATGGCGACTACAAACGCCGAGGCAAAGGATTACCTCAATGGTCTTTTAAACAAGAGCCTTCGTGTGACAACGACAGACAAGCGAATGTTCCTCGGCGAGTTCAAATGCACAGATTCGGTAGCCATTTCCCCCCTCTTCTCTACAGCACATTCCGGGCACCCCGCAGCTAACATTGACGGGATAGGATCGTAACATCATCATCGCACATACCTACGAATACCGCCTACCCTCAGAATCCTCCCTTCCACAAGCTTCCGGCGCTGGCTCAGTCACGTTGGAAATGACATCCCGCTATCTGGGTCTGGTCGTTGTGCCGGGCGAGCATATCACGAAGATCGAGCTCGAACAATTCGCATCGCAGATGAAGTCTAAAGGGTCGAGGTGGTCTGGCAATATGCTTGAATCGCAGACTGGTACTACTATAACAACGACGTCGGAAGCCGCATAGCACCCCGCTCTGGCTATTGTGGGATTCACATGTACTCTTACTACGTGATTATGGATAGCACGGAGTATTCGGTTCGTTACGACGAATTGGGAATGGAAGTAAACGGGCATAAGGCGAAGGGTATATAACCCTAACGCTGTACAGGATGTCGTTACCAGAGCCCAGACGATAGACACCTGGCAACGGGAACCTACGGATATAAGTGGGCACTGAATCTCCAGGGTCAAGCTTGGGCTTATAGGAGATCGGTGGGTTGCATCAGGCCTATGATTTAGAAACACAAGTTATGAATCATAAGGCTACCATTTTCAGAAATTCAAACTAAAGTATAAACAACATATTATTTTATTAACATCGGGTCATTGCGAAACACATGTTGTAGAAAAAAAAGAAAAAAAAGCAATGAGATTCCGGGATCAAGTTTCCCGCAAAACTCCCAACTCGTCAAACACCAAAGAAAGACCATTCAAATCCCGGCGCATTAGACTTCAACCGAGGTCTCGTGCAGACGACCCCTGCTCTCTCCGTTGAGAATCTCACTCTCCTGCACAGAGTGCCTGTCCTCCTCCTCCTCGTCATCATAATCATCGACGCCCTGGTGCGCGCTAGCTGGGACCCACAGGCCAGACTCGCGGTCCTTGTATGCGCTATCTTGACCAGAAAGGTCGTGGCCCTCTGCGTTGCGGGCGATGTTGTTTCGGCGGCGCTGGGAGAGGGTGCGTGCGCGGGTGGATAGCTTTGCGTTCACAGCAGCCTTGGAGTCGACCCAGTTGGTGAGGGCATCCTCACAGTCTTGGATGATGGCCTTGCTGGCCTCGTAACCATCGTATGCAGCTCTGGTCTCGCCAGGGGTGACTGGGGTGTCGTCAATCAGCTCCAATAGGTGCTTTCCGTAACCTGCGATAGTAGCGAGCTTCTCGCTGTGCTCGCGGAGAGCATTGAATTGGTAGTTGAATGCTGCCTTGATCTTCTCACGGGTGATGTTCGAGAGCTGGGCCTCGGCGACGAGCGACTCAGCCTCGGCGCGGACAAGCTCCTGTTCGAGGATAACAATTCGGGGGGAGTTAGGCTCCTTGTATTTTAGTTGCGCGATTTGGTCTGTGATCTTCTGCTTGCCTTCATTGAGTTAGTACCGAAATAGGCGCATTAAGCAATGGAAAAAACTTACGGTCTCTGCTGGGCTGCACCGACGACTCAATGTTGCGGATGCTCTTGATGGTGACACGGTATTGATCGTACTGGTCAACGTAGGAGTCCTCGAGCTCACCCATTTCGTAGAGCAGAACACCAAGCTTATCGGTAACATCGGATACGTCATCGTCGCATCCCTCACCCCAGATCGACAATTGTTGCTATGTGATGTCAGTAAAGGCGACAGCAAGTTGATGTGATGTCGCAAGCTTACAGCAACTTCCATGCGCTCTCTGCCGACGAGCTCCATGCTCCTCATAACGTTCTTCTCCATCTTCACCAGCTGGGCGAGCTTCTTGCTCAGCTCGGTGCTACCGAAGCCAGCACTGCCAAGACGAATTAGTTACGCATTCAAGTTTGCGCAACGGGTTCAAACATACGCATGCTTCCTCAATCCATGGCCAATGCCGCCCCGGCCAAAAATGCGCCCCGACTTAGTCGTCGATGGTGGAGGCGGTGGGTTCTGGAGCTGCGACGCGGTCGGAGCCCGAGACTGCCGCAGGGAATATGTACGATGCATTGTTGTTTATTGACAAGTTTTGTTGACAGTGAGTGAGGGTGTGGTTATTATAAACAGATTATCGATCAGTCGTTCGATTGATAGTAGACAGGCAGCAAGATCTCAAAAAGAAAGAGAAGGAGAGAAGAGAGTCTGGGCTGAGGATTGGATTAAGGGTGGAGTGACATTAGCTGACTTTCAGGTTAAACCCTCAAGAAGAAGGCAGAAGGGTGACGGGGGGGACCACTGCGTCATAGTTGTGTGTTTAAGGTTTGAAGGGTTCCACTTTTGAGTAAATAGAAGGTTGTGATTGGATATAATTTTGGGGGGCTACGCACGACAACCAAGCCTCGACGTAGCCGGTTTATTTGGGTTTATTTGTTGATTTATGGGCACTGCAACCAGACATATGACGAATTATTAAAAATTGGGATGGATAATTGATAGTTGATAATTAAGAATTAAAGGCGTGCAAATAATAAGTAATACGTTAAATTAAAATTAAAAAAAATCAACAGCATCAAAAAATCAGCAGAATGTAGGTAGGTGATCGAGGTGAATACTCCCGGGTCAAGATCGATCCGGCTTGAATATATCAAGGCATCAAGCGCCGGCTGAGTGGGCACACTACTCCAGTAGCACAGAATATAGTCTCAGAGTGTCGCACCCGATGTCATACTTGTGCCAATGTCTCTCACTTATGTCAAGACAACAGTATCTCGGTCCTCTAATCGCTGGAGGGTGGCATAGTATGGCCTAGTAAGATCGATGATTAAACACATGACCAAAAGTACTCGGCAGGAGCCATTGCGTCAAAACCAGCCTTTGCCCTCAGCTATGATTTAATCCTTCCCACTTGCGAAGGAGGCCGGCTTGATCCCCCCCCGACATCCCAACCCCAGTGAGTGTGCTCCGTAGGGCTGTCGGCAGTTGCAAGCCGCCATACACTAGTCCATTGATCTCCAAACCGGCAGTCTGCCGTTGCTTGTCTTTTCTCAATGATACTGTAGCACTTCTTTGGTACTAACCACAGCACTTGGCTATGCGGACTGCCCACTGCTAGCCTATCCCTAGAGCTATCTTTTCGGCATCCCTGGTCAGATCATAGACCCTTTGAAAGTAGATTAGGACTAGACTGCCAGGAAATATACAGGGCTCAAAGCCAAGTCCCATGAAAAAGAAGCGTTGTTGATAACCGCCCGCTTCTGACGTCATAACTAGAATCGCTAAATTCTCGGGTGGGATCACGGGATTGCTGGAGCCACTGTAGATTAGATTAGATTAGATCGTGGGGTGTTTCTCGTCCCAAAGTTTATCGAAAGGTGAGCGAGTATCCACGTACCACGTTCGCGGTCACGACTATATACGATATTATCATAGCAATATGATAATAGAATAAATTGTTTGCTTCTCGTGAGAAATGGCTATTCAGGTATGTGAGAGTACCCGGTGTCTTACACTGGGATAAAGCTCACAAGAGTGGCCCCACTATGGAATTTAGGACGTCGTGTGCTAACATCTCTACAGCATGTGTATTCGCTGGAGCCCATCACAGCCCTCGCATATTACCGCCAAGCTGAGATTATAGGGCAAAATGAGTTGCTTTTGGTTGGAGAGGGTGCCTTTCTCAAGATTTATGAAGTTAAATCCTCAAAGCTCATCGCACAATGCAGAGTCTTCAACTCCCAAACTGTCCACGGGATCGCCGCGCAGGGGGACCAAGGATCTGGCGATGGCCTGATAGCAATCTGGGGAGGCCGTTCATTTACCTTGCTTGACGATGTTGACTTGAAAAACATCATATCAGGTGACAAGAGCTCACTCGTTTCCAACGAGAAGGTCGCCCCTGACTGGCTGCTGGCCTGCGCCATTTCTCCCTTTGATGCTTCCGGGGGTTGCATTTTTATTACAGCCCACAGCGTTCCCCTACATGTTCTACCACTCGATGGTTCAAAGCAACTGTCTGTGCGGCGCCTCTCGTCTCCCTCCCGCTCGATTCTCTACTCTGCCAATATTGTCTGGAGTTCAGAGTCTTCAATTATGGTCGCAGCAGGCACGGTATTTGGAGAAATCGAAATTATTGCCTTGAAGATGAGTATTTCGGACTCCACAGAAAGTAGCGAGATACTTTTCACTTTCACCGGCCACGAAGGATCGATATTCGGGGTCCAGATCTCCCCTGAGATAAGAGGGCCAGACGGACAACTTACCAGACTACTGGCTAGTTGTAGCGATGACCGAACCATCAGGTTATGGGATCTCTCGCCGTTAAATAGCAACCCAACAGATCCTCCATTAACAAAACGCATGTTAAAGGATACTGGTTTTGGCGGAGTCGTTCCGGACTCACAGGGTATGCTTTCTGAAAAGCTATGCATAGCTACTGCAATGGGGGAGCATGCCTCTCGCATTTGGCAAGTCAAATTTATCACCCCCAAAGAACCTGAGTCAGAAAAGGCAACCCCAGTCAATGTTCTCTCCTTCGGCGAAGACTCTACTGTGCAACAGTGGGCCCTTGATGGGTGGTCAAAGGCGTCTAGCGACAATGCTACTCAGGATGCTCTTGGGCTTGAAAAGATAACATTGAAGCCCAAAGCCACCCTTGCACATATCCAAGAATTCTCACACCATACTGGAAAACATATATGGTCGTCTTCTTTGCTTGCTACAGGGCAGCTACAAAGCAGATTGGCCACTGGCGGTGCAGATGGAGCTGTCTCGGTGTTCGATGTTTTTCTTGGCGGGCAGCAGGCAGACCAAGAAACCGAACAAATGGCTCATGGTTCACTCGCGGATGAGTTACCGGAACGCCATAGGCACCCGAGATCTTGGATCAAATCACTAGATGATCTCGTTGAACCGCTACCTCCAGCTGCTGTAGTTGAGGAGCCTGTCGTGGAACAAGCTCCAGTTATCACGGAGTCCAAAGACGGAAGTCCAGAAGATGCAGAAAAGAGCAAGAAAAAGAAGAAGAAGAAAAAGCCGCCTGCGGCCCCAAAGGACTCTTTTAACAAATACGCACTTGTCGGTCCAAATAAAGTTCTCTTCACAACGAATTCTGGAAGGGTTGTCGTCCAGTCAGACGCTCCCACCAACCCTTGGCCTGAACTGTCACTCCCCGTCGGATCTGAATCAGACCTTAAATCTTACTCGGTTGTTACTGGTATACCAGAACACGGGATTGCCATATTGGCAGGTGCGAATGGCAAAGTTTATATGCATTCTCCATCTCGAGGCGTAGAACAAATAGCGGATTTGAAACACAAGGTAGCGGGACTGTTTTATATTTCAAGGACGAGTAGTGATAACTTACTAGTCCTAGCAACCCTCCTTGGGAGCTCGGAGGCTAGTGTTATTACGCTCCGGCCCGCTTCTTTAGAGAAAGTGGATGTTCAAACCATCCATTTACCGCCTGCTTTTGTAGTGACAAGTGCAGGCGAGGTCTGTGACTTGATCATACTCGGATCGAGAAACGGCAAAATCGCGGTTTATAATTTGGACGCCGGAGCAAATGAGCTGATTGTTGCTCTTGACGAGAGTTTCAAGTGTCATGATGCAATAACCTCTGTTGTAAGGGTTCCAGAATCCTTCGAAACGCCGGGTCGCTTTATCGTTACAGCCCGTGATGGAACTTATGCTATTTTTCTTGCATTAGTCAACCCGCTCAATGATGAGGAAGCCTTGACTCTGTTGGTACTTATTCATCAGACATCGCTTCCATTTGGGCCAATGATAGAAGGGGCATCATTCTGTGGCACATCACTGATTGTCCATGGCTTTCGGAGCAAAACGTTTATTGTCTGGAATGAAACGGAGCAAAGAGAAATATGCAGGGTTGACTGCGGTGGGGCTCATAGAAGCTATGTTTACTCCCTTCTGCCTCAATACAGCGGTACCTACTTTGCATATACCAAAGCCTCAAAACTACACATACATGAGCAGTACCATCCGTCGCACAACGTCTTGAAGCCGGGCGGCCATGGACGAGAGATTAAAACCTGTGCCATATCTCCGGATCAACAATTTATTGCTACGGCAGCAGAGGATACAAATATAAGAATATGGGACTACGATGACGATCATGACAACGCTCTCGGCGAGAGACTCCAATGTCATGTTACCCTGCGAAAACACAGTGCTGGAGTTCAGCACCTACAGTGGGCGCCTTCCTCAGACAAAACCCACTACTTGTTCAGTGGCGGAGGGTGTGAAGAGTTCAATGTCTGGGCGGTTACGCGCGTACTAGGGGAAGAGCTCGGGGCAGTTTGTGAAGCTACCTTAGATGATCTGAGCGAGGATCGAGACCTGCGGATTATGGGCTTCGATATTAACGCTATGAGTAACCCCGTCGAGGTTAATATTGCAAAGACCGAGTCGATGTACTTGATTGTGATAGCTTTCTCCGATTCCACTATTAGGGGATATTGGTATACAAAAGCCGATGGTTTCGAAAAGTTCGGAGAGGGAAGATACACTTCTTCGTGTATAACACAGATAAAACTGATGGTATCGGTTGAAAGCGGATCGAGCATTCTAACAGCCTCGACGGATGGTCATCTTGCATTATGGTCATTGGGCGACGATGGTGAGGACAACGATGACGATGGAGATGAAGTTGCGAAATTTTCCGTGACGAAGAGAATTAAGGTTCACCAGTCGGCCATTTTGTCATTTGATACTCTCACAATAGGACCTGATGGCTTCATCATCGCTACTGGAGGCGACGATAATGCGGTGTCGCTGGCGTATCTCAATGGCGATGAATTTGCATTGCAGCTAACAGTTCCATCAGCCCACGCTGCTGCTGTCAGTGGGCTGGGCTTTGTTTCTCACTCACATGATTCCGAAACTCAAACAGGAATCTTTCGCTTCTGCACAGTGGGTGGAGACCAAAAGCTGAAGAATTGGGAATTTAAGGCAGTAGTGGAACAAGAACATGGAGCATTCAAGCTCAGCGAGTTGGTATGGCAGGAGGCAGGAGTCAGTGATATGACGACTACAACCAATGTTCCGGATGCTGCTGGAGTGGCCATTTTTGGTGGGCATTGCAGCCATATTCATTGCTTGGTGTATGGCAATGGGATGGAGGTATTTGATGCTTAGTATGATTATATTCTTGGGGGGGCCTACGAAGATAGTTAGAATATTATGGATATTATGGATATATTATCTGTAGCTCGTATATATTCCAAGATGTAATTCTCGGCCATTGATATATTTATCAACGAAATAAAATAATAAAATTTCCAATATACTTCACCACAACGCCCCCCAAAAAAGGGGAACAACAAGAATAGTCTCAACTTGCACAGAGTACCCAAGACAAATACAACTCCCATTAACTCAGATAGTCTACTGGTTGATTAGATGGTGTTTTATGGGTTGTCGACAGACGTGAGAAATGATGCACAACTCCGGGTCATAGTAATCCCGGCAGCCGCCACAGAGATCGCGCTAGCAAGGTACCCCCTTGTCGCAACCCCATACTCCCAGTGTTATATGGAGCTTAACATTTTGTACCTGGCAGATCAGCCCAAACAATTCCACAGCTCCACGACAGATGACGCTGCTATAAACTCTAGGAAACACCAATACAGCTGGAAAATGGACACAATGGACACAACATATTCATCCACAGATGCGCCAATGGGAGATGCACCCCAAGACACGCCAGCTTCCGAGGAAATCTCCCACCCCTCCTCGATACCTCAAAAGCGCGTGTTGGAGGATGACCATGTGCCATCCGTATCTTCACCACTAAACCCAGACTTCAACAAGGTGCCGAAGGATGAGGCGCCAGCAGCTAAGGAGCGCGCAGCTCGCGCCAAGAAGGAATCATTCAAAAAGCGCGAAGCAAAAGGACCTGCTGCCACAGAAGCAAGAGACAGCCCAGATCCGGCCGGCCCAGCCAAGCAGAGGAAGACGTCTGACGTCCTCGCCCCTTTGCGCTACAAGCTAGCTCCACCGAGGCTCGCAGATTTTGAACCTCCACAAGGGCCAGTATTCACACCGAGTCATACGATTAAAGGCCCCGATGGCGCACCGATACAATTCCATGAAGCTTCGGACTAGTAAGACCTTCGCGCCCTGATATTTGGAAGATCACCTGCTAATGTGTCTGTCTCCCTCAGTGCCTCCAATAAAAAGAACTATCGTTATACTCATTGTATCGCCGACCCCGAATTCCCCTCGTCTCTGTTCTACCGCCAGTCCGAAACTGCGCCCTTCACCCCACGTCTTAATTTTGAAGATCAGGCGGGCCATATGTTCGTGGACCCGGCAGGTCGACATGTTTCGACTGACAAAGGCTTCCGCATGGCGAAAGCAAATGTATGCGTAAGAGAAGGACGCTACTACTGGGAATGCAAGATCACAAGCGGTATACCAAAGCAGGGCGAAACGAGCGAGGGGCATGTACGAGTGGGTTGGGCAAGGAGAGAAGCTACATTGGAATCTATGTGCGGTTTCGATGCCTACAGTTACGGAATTAGGGATGTCACTGGCCAAAAGGTCCACCTGTCGCGCCCAACCGCATTCTTTCCACCAGGCGAAAATATAGAGGTCGGGGATGTGGTAGGACTGGAGATCAACCTTCCATCGCTATCGCTACACAGCAAGGTTGTTGAAGGACGATATAACCCAGCCGTGGATCTGGAAGACGATGAGCCGGAGCACACAGTCTCCGATATCATACGGGACCGAGTTCCCATACGATTCAAGTCCCACCTCTACTTCGAGCAGATCGACTACCTCCCAGTGAAAGAGCTTGAAGACTTGATGAATCCTGCTCCGACAGGAACTGGCAGCGGTGGCTCAAACCAGAAACCAAGCGCAACGCATCCGGTGCCTGCCATGCGCACCCTGCCAAACTCCAGCATCAAGGTCTATAAAAACGGAGTCTACATGGGCGAGGCCTTCAAGGATCTCTTCGCATTTCTACCCCCAGCGTCGTTGCCGCAGGCCCAAGTGGGTGCTCGAGAAGGTCTGGATGATGGGATGCTGGGCTACTATCCGGCAGTTAGTGTTTTCCGTGGGGGCGCTGCTGAAATCAACCTTGGCCCCGACTTCTGGTTCCCTCCGCCTGGATCCGATGTGGATGATGACGAGGTCGACATGGTTGGAAGCGACCAGCAAGCACCACCCAAGGGCAAAAAAGCGAAGCCCGTCTCCGAAAGATTTGATGATCAGATCGCCGAGGATATCGTTTATGATCTTATTGACGAGGTTGATTTCTGGATGCAGGATGGATTTGTGGTGCTCAACCAGGCCCGCAATACGGCAATGGCTCACCCTACGGCCACGAATGGGAATGGAGAGCTAGGGGAAAACATCATTCCTCACGGCGAGATCAAGGAATTGGTTCAGGACGAGGAGTAATGATGGATAATGAATAATGCGGCGCAAAAGCACCAGGCGACAGTCGGGATTATTATCGTTGTGATCATTGCCCTGGAACAATTGATGGCACTCCCGATAGGTTCAATTAGCCCGACAACGCTGTTTACTACAGTAAACCACAGCAAAAGTATTGAAACAATGTTTCACCTCATGAAACCGAGGTGCCTGGATATGTCATGATGCAAATGACGAAAACAGAGCCGGGCCGGGATGCCCGGGACGCACATCTGGATGGAACCATTGAGGTGGCTTAAACCACCCGGGGGTTTAAGAAGATTGTAAGACATAAATTCAAGAGACCCTTAAGTTGCAATTGCAACCGGCGGATTTCTCAACCGCGTTGTTAACTATTTGTACGAATATATCTCGACAGATATCAAAGATTAAACGGAGATTTCGGGAGCTGATGAATAATATGAGAGTACGCGCACGCACCCATGGTGATAAGAGTAATCGAGTAACCCCGCGGTGGCTGGCATGACGTCGACTGTACCCAATCCAATCTGTGTGTCGGATGGCACGGACGCCGCACCCAGTAGCTGTACGAGTAACCACTGTGCCTCGCATGAACAATATCAGGTGGCGGCCATGCAAACTTTTGCCGACAGTGATTCCACTACTTCTCTTTGAGATCGCTCTACTGTTGCACATTTCATTCCTGTCGTATTGTCTCCTACTGTAACACCACCAGACACAGAAACACCATTTGATGGCGTGAGGGCCCGGATGTCGCAACAGAGCTTCTGAAATCCGGCTCATGCTACATCATCAGTCGTACTGCTGTGCACAACTCGCGCGCATCGGAAGGGTGAGTAAAATTTGATGTCTCAGCCTCTTTTGCGAAGGTTTTCCGCAGCGCACTCCCTCGAGGGAAGAGTCTGGCCATTCCTGGGCACGTCGTAGGTGCGCCCATTGGCAGCGATGCAGAGAGTTACTTCCATGTTGCCGTCCTGGGACAGGACAAAGAAGGGCGGCAAGCAGGGCTTCGATAAAGTCTGGGGTTGGGCTGACAAACTCGGCGCACCGGTAAACAAGTTCACGAACAAAATCGGCAGCGAGGCGTTTTGGCCGACTGAATTGGACAAGGAGAGTGACAAGGCTGCGAGGATATTGAGGAGTTTCTGCAGTAAGTAGTCCCATGCTTACCTCGGGTCACAAATACAGAATTCCCGACATGGTCCGGTACCTGTGTTGTGCGCATTCAAGGAGAGGGGCGAAATGGTTTTATGGTCTTATAGTTTGCTAACATTGGGTCACAGAGGATGGATTCTACAAAGAAGAGAAATTGCCGCCGAGCGAATTCGGTCCCAACCAGAGCGCGAAACAACGAGTACTTATGAAGATCCCGCCAAACGTGGTCAAGAATGCAGTTGGGATGGCTATTTTCACAACGATGCGCACAGGTCTTTGGATTTCGGGTGCGGGCGGATCTGGGGTCTTGGTTGCGCGATTGGAAGACGGGTCATGGTCACCTCCTTCCGGGATTATGCTACACACTGCAGGTATTGGATTTTTAGTGGGAATCGACATATACGACTGCGTTGTGGTAATCAACAGCAGGAAGACCTTGGAGTCGTTTACGAAAATCCGAGCAACGGTTGGTGGCGAAATCAGTGCCGTTGCAGGGCCAGTTGGGGTTGGTGGGGTGATTGAGAGTGATGGGAAATGGAAGCAGATAAACAGGCCAGTATTCACATACCTGAAGTCGAGAGGATTCTATGCTGGGGTCCAGCTAGACGGCACGGTAATTATCGAAAGAACAGACGAAAATGAGAGGTTCTATGGCGAGAGAATATCCGCAGCGAATATCTTGGCTGGAAAGGTCAGATTCGTACCCAGGGAGACGAAGATGCTCTTGGAGACACTAAAGTTGGCTGAGGGCCGATCGGACTACGATCAGGATTTAATGGAAGAATTGGAAGGCCAACCAGCCCCAGGAGATGTCGATGTCGAGTCAACAACCGTTTTCGGAATCCCCGAACCAGATGACCCCGATCCATTCGGCGTTCTTGCTTTAGAGCAGGCCGGGATGGAGATCAAAGAGGCAGGAAGCCACTCCCGGCCGAGTAGCTCACAGTTTGAATACAAGCCGAGTCCAACCAGTCCGATATTTCCACACCTAAACCGGTTGAGTATGGACACAAACGGGGCAGGCAGTCGAGCCAGCTATATGAGCAACTCGAAAAGAACTAGCTTACGAACTGTCCGAAGTATTTCAATGGGTACACAAACAGACGCGGATGACTCGTCTAGCGTGCATGCAAAGACTCCAATCGAAGCGGCTGATACCCCTGTGGAGAAGGTTGACCTAGAACCACCGGATGTTGACTACACACAAATTGATCTCGGACCATACAGCGGATTCAAAAGCCCAAACCATACTTCTGAGTTCAATGGGAGTGGCACGACCATAACAGAGCAAGAATCGCCCGAATCTCAACACCATGAAGGGGCTGAGAAGCATGCCGAACCGAAACACCAGGAAGCGTCCGTGAAGCATGTGCAACCCCAGCATCAAGAAAGGTCTGAGAAGCGTACCGAACCCCAAAACCACGAAGGCTCTGAGAAGCACGGTGACAGCGATGCCGACAATTATTCAGACGACGGCTTGGATGACGACGAACCCGTGGTTTTCGAGGCGGCGGCAGCAACACATCGCCCAACCCACATCAACGTTGTCAAGGCGCGAGGAAATGTCGTCACCATCCCGCCAAGACCAACACCACCTCTGCCACCGAGGAATTCGGCAAGAGGTAGCAGGAGTTTGGTCAATGGCGTCTGGGAAAACGGGTCTCCACTTGCTAGCCCGAGGTCGGACAGGTTTTCTCCTCTCTCGAGCCCAAGGGCTGACGGGTTTGAGATTGCCAAGCTTAACGGGAGCCCAAGCAGCCGACCTTCATCGCTCCAGAGCCAGACTGAAAAACCAAATGGGACAACTGAAAATGGGGTTAAGGCGGTGGATGAAGCCAATGGAGTTAAAGAGAAGAAGTCGAGTGAAGCGGAGGTCCCCTACGGTCAATACTTTTCCTCCGGAAACCAGACGAGCAAAGAGAGCCCCAAGGAAGAGACCGTCCCCGCTTCTACGGAAACGAAGGACTCAACTCCACCAAAATCTGCCGTTGAGGTTCTACTCCCAAGCTCGGATTTACCTGAAGATGCGGACGAAAGTCAGAACGAGGACTTTCAGGATGCTGTCGACGGACCTGCTGGTGGCAAGGAGGATGCTGTTGACGCAACCGCTGGTGGCAAGGAGGATGCTGTTGACGCAACCGCTGGTGGCAAGGAGGATGCTGTTGACGCAACCGCTGGTGGCAAGGAGGATGCTGTTGACGCAACCGCTGGTGGCAAGGAGGATGCTGTTGATGCACCCACTGGTGGCAAGGATACGAGTACCGACACAAAGATATAGCTGACATAAGGTGTTTTGGAAATTTCACGCTCAATGGGGGAATAATATATGGGATTAAAACTTTTGTTGATACTACGGGCTAAGGGCATAATTTTGGAGTTGCTGGTCGGGAGCATCATATGGGGAGCTTCTTGGTGTTCCGCGACGTTTTGGTTGAGTTTGGCAGGAGACACGACATATAGGCGCGGACGTATTTGGGATATAATGTAACGCAGTTTAAAGGGATGAGTTTGTATTTGTTGCCTACTTGATCATGTGAATTTCTCGAGGTGTAGTCTTGAGGGGTTTGTCTTGACTTTGCTCCTCAAGTTAGTATTAAACAAATGATAGCATCTGAGCACCCATCGAATCAGGAGCTTTAGCTCAGTGGTTAACAATCCCTCGTGGCGCAATGGCTAGCGCGTTCGACTGTTAAATAGTGATTCTACTTGCAATCGAGAGGTTGGTGGTTCGACCCCACCCGAGGGAGTTTATCTTTTTGCTTCTTTTTACATTTTAATGAGAGTTGTTGACGAGGCGGTTGAGGCGTGAAATACCAGAGTTTACCTCTCTGTGTGGTGGTGTTCTATATTTTTGGTCGCGTACCTGAGCGAAGTCGCGTATTCCCCAGATAAGGCTGATAAGGCGGGGAGAGAGTCAACACCACATTTGTTGGATACATTTCCCTTTTGTCCCAAGCCTACCATAGTTGAAGTTACGGCTCAGCTGTAATTTCACGTCCCAGATATCACACATGTCGGCCGGGCAGTACGATGACAGTAATCGCGCCTTTCTCCAAGCCTTCATGGCAAGAGGCACCCTGACGTTCAAGGAAGCGCGGCCCCTCCTCGCCGCCATATTCTCTGTGAAAGATGGTACCTCCCCCATTCCTCTCCAGCTTTGCCTCCAAGTCTCTAACCAGCTATAATACAGGCGAAACTGTTCGCCCCGATGAAGTCACCATGGCAGATTTCGAATCTTACGTCCACGCCGCCTCCGACGCCTTGTCACCCTTCGACTACGAGATTCGCTCCACACTACACCAGGTCTCGAAGGAGCGCATATGGGCCCTCGTGAACAGCACCAGCGACGCCCTGACGCAAATGGCAACAGTGAGAACGGCAGACGAGATCGCATTTATCAAGCGGGTATTAGACGCCATGTTCGAGACGTACAATACCGAGCGCCAGGAAGTCATGGCGATTACGAGCATGCAGGCCATGAAAGTCGCGAAAGCGGATGAGAGGAGGATGCGGCAGAGCACCGGAGCCGGCGAGGAGAGCCAGAGTGCGGATAAGGGACTCACGCACGGGCAGGCCGAGAAGTTGATGCTGAGTTTGGTGGATGAGGGGTGGTTTGAGCGTAGCAAGGAGGGGTGGTATACGCTTTCTCCGCGGGCGCTGATGGAGCTCAAGTCCTGGCTTGCGGCGACTTATAATGATCCTGATGCGGAGGCGGGAGAGTGGCAGCATATCAAGAACTGTGAAGCGTGCAAGGGTATTGTGACGATGGGACAGAGGTGCTCGGAGGTATCGTGTACTGTGCGCCTTCATGAGGGTTGCTTGGGTCCGTTTTGGAGAACGAGGAGGGAGGAGAAGTGCCCTAAGTGCAAGACACCGTGGAAGGGGCTGTGGGTTGGGGAGAAGGCTGTGACAACGACGGAAGCATATAATCGGGGTAGGAGAATTAGTGGTGGAGGAAACAGGAGGCCAGCGCAAGAGGATGAGGAGGAAGAGGAAGAAGGGGAGAACGGAGCAGAGGAGGGGGAGAAGGACGACGACGAGGATGAAGTCTGAGAGACGATATGTGAATATTACGAATGGCTGGCGTTAGGAATTAAGGGCATGCGGGTCCAGGTGGCGTTGGGGCTGGAATTTGCCTTCTCAAGTGATATTACTCAATACCAAAAGATCTCCAAAAGCTGGAAATTTATACATATACGGGGGCTAGTTGGCGACTATCAATCCACTGCTCTGAGAATCAGACTATACAAATCAAATTGGTATATTGATCGACTATTATTTGCCAATCATGGTCATACATGTGATCCATCCTCCTCCATCCGCATACCAGAAACTCGTTTTTGCGCCTCATTATTGTATCATCCCGCGCCAGTAGCATAACAGCCGTCTTCTCGTAATACCCCTACCGTTCATAATCGTGATTTTCCTAACCCCCTTGACTCTCATTACAATCTTTCCACTTGTTCTGCCTTAGTCGTGGCGACGTCTGGATGAAGAGGCTTCGTCTGAGGCATCTTGCCGACGTGAATCACGACTTCTTCTCTTTGGTGAAGAGCCGCTATCGAGACGACGCGAATCGTGGCTTAGCCGTCTCGGCGAGCGATCACGGCGGCGCGAATCACGGCTTCGTCGTCTGGACTCAGCATTGGGCGTCGCGCTGGACTCCAACGCTAGATCATCATCAAGCTCGACAATACGGCCCTCACTGTCGACCACCTCCGTCTTGCCTTCTGCTGCAAGTCGTACTTCCTTGCCTCGTTTGTGGCAATACCAGAAGAAGAAAAGTAGAACTATAAAAGTTAGAATGCATACTGTAACGTGGAGTAGAATATCTTACCAAATAGACCCAAGCTGAGCAAAACATTCGTGCCCATGAATGCAGGCCATCTCAACTTCAGCGAATTCATGATAGTCTTCAATAATCCAGCGACTGCTCCGGGTTTCGTAACGAGGTCTTTCAAGCCGTTCGGCTTCAAGAATCCCTTGGCCGCCCCCATGAATCCTCCGCCCGCAGCTGCGCTAGCTGCACCCTCCGCCATACCTGACTTCTGGGCCTCTGCGGCTGTAGCCAGAATCTCCGGACCCAGTGTACTGGTCCACTTTTCGGGCAATTGCGCGATTAACTTCTTCATGAACGAAGGAAGCTGCTCATAGGTCTTCGAAAGTGTGCCCTGCGAGTCATCCAGGAGATGGACCAGATCATCGTATGCAGTCGGGACACCGTTGACGAGGTCTTTAAGGACGAGAGTGAACTTCTCCATGAGCTCGTTGGATTCTTTTGAAAGAGACAGTGCGCGGTTGTTGACTGCCGACAGGTTGAGGTCGTTCAGAACTCGGGTGATATCATCTTCCTCTTTCTCAACCTCCTCAGCCGGGAGATTTGCCTTCGCATTTTTGTCGTCTTTCTTCGACTTTGTAAACAAGGACGAGAATCGGTTTTCCTTCTTCTTCGCTTTCTCTGGTCCCTTCTCGTTCTCCTTGTTTTTTCCCTTGCTTATAGACCTCTCTAGCTGTGGTGTGTTTTCATCGGCTATGACAAGCTCTTGGTTCAAAGCAGTCGGGCGTTCGGGAAGTGGTGGTGGTGTCCCCTCAGAGACAAGGTGTTCGATGAACCTCTCATCGTCGGGGCTTAGAACTGGTTTGAGTGGTGGCGTCAGAGCCTCCTCTCGGGCGCGTTTCTCGGCCTGGTGCTTCTTTACTTTCTTATATGTGAAGTATTCCAGCATCTTGATAGCTATTTCAGATACAAGAGTGCAATATCTAGATGTTGTGAGGGTTGAATCAGAGAGGTTGGGTTCATGAATGTTGACGAGTAGCGTAGGTGCCAAGATTCCACAGAGGGGCATCTGTGGCTGTGCAACGACGTCACAAGCGCTGATAGCTTGTGACAGGACTTAGCCAAGCTTTATCATAACACTTTAATATGCTTATATTTTGCAAAATTTAAGCAACCCAGCAAATATAATCAAGTCCTAGCAGATGGATAACTATTAAGTCTCCTCACAGTTGCCAGTCACTGACCAAGATTTGGTATAGTATGGCCTCTGTTTGTTTATGATTGGTAGTATGGCCTCTGTCTTTTCATGATTGGTAGTATGGCCACTGTCCGTTAATGTCTGGTAGTATAGCCTTCAGTACGTTCATGAGCTTGCTTTTAATTTCTCATTTTATAAAAACGGGGATCTAATCGCTATGAAATATATCTAATGCACGCCAAATGAAGATCAACTACTGGTGGTAATCCATTCGGCTGTCTCCAAGAACCCTGTATATTTCGTCGACAATATCTTGCTGGCCACTGGGTGCACCTCTCACAGCGAGGAACTTCCTGCAGTCCACAGACACTTCTTCCCCTGGGTTGCCGCTTCTCATGATACCACCAGCCTCTTCGAGGACGCACCATGCCGCTGCAACATCCCACGCCCAGCATCCTCCTTCCCAGTATACGTCTAGCTGGCCAGCAGCTACGGCGACAAGGTTAAGCGCAGCAGAGCCCATGGACCTCAGGCTGTGTACCATGGCACCTCCCTGCTCCTTGGATGCGGCAAGCTTGGCGAAGGCCTTGACTTTAATGTCAAAGTTGATCCCGCTGCGGTCTGAGCCCCATTCCACACCGACAAGGCAAGTGCTAAGGTCCTTCAATGGCTCAGGGCTAGCTTTTAAAGGAAGCTTTTGCTTTGGGCCACCGTTTTGCGACAAGAAGGAGCCTTGGCCCTTAATGGCAGTCCAGAGTTCGTTGAGGAATGGGTTGTAAATGACGCCGACCGTTGGCACTCGGCCCACCGTGAAACCAAGGGAGATGCAGACGCTTGGAAAGGCGTGGACAAAGTTCGTCGTGCCATCTATCGGGTCGACAATAAACGTGGGAGCATCAGTCAATGGCTGGCCCGGATAGTATGTCTCCTCCCCAATGAAGTCAAACTTCGGGTACGCTGTGCGCAATTCAGAGGTCACCATGGCCTCCACAGCCTTGTCAGTTTCAGTGACAAGGTCGGCAGCTACAAGATATCAGCCGAATCATATGAGGAAGCATTAGAACCGGTTGGTTGCTTAAACCGTGCTCTGGACTTTATATAGTGGGGGCGTACAGTTCTTCTTGGTGTCGGAACCAAGCGTTTGCGGGGTTGCAGACATGATCATCTTGCCCGCCTGGTGGGCGACCTTGACTAGAAGGTCATGGATCTCTGTGAGATTGATATCAGACATGTTGAGTATAGTGATTCTTTGATTGTGGAGGAATTGGTGATTTAGGAATGTCAGATGTGATTGAGGTGGGGTATGTAAATAAAGGCGGGGGTTATAATTTGGTTGGTACGTACTTTGTATAGCTCCGGGAAACCCACCGCCTGGCAGAAAAAGTCTAGCCTCAAGACCAGACGAAGCGCCGAACGCGCCCCACTGGCAAGTTGCGTGAATGATTCAAAGACAACGATTACAGTTACAGTTTGCCCGTGTTATTGGATATAGAGGCTGTAGAGGAGCACAGTACTTTGTGGCTGCTCGAACATTCTGCGCAATGTCTTCCTCGGAAACCAATTCCCTCGCAAAAGACATCAGCGCAACTCCTGCTGTCAGTCAACATATCCACCATGATGGAAAAGACTACAGCACAATAAAGGAAGGGCTTGCGTATATTCTTGTCCCTGGAAATGGGCCTTTGGTGCCTCAAACCAACCCAAGTGGCGACAATCAATCCCAATCGGTCTTTTATAACCCAATCCAACAATTCAATCGCGACCTGAGTGTTTTGGCAATCAGGGCATATGGAGAGGGTGCAGTTGCTAAAAAGGAAGCCGAATCCGAGAAGAGGCGTAAGGCTGCGAGCAAGAACAAGAAACGGAAGCGTGTGGATGAAGCCGTGAATAAAGATGGCGGGGAGGACGCAGTGGCACCGGGGACGACGATCAGTGACAGTGTTGAGGCAGTTACCCTGGCCACAAATGAAGTACCGGAACAGACAGCCATGGAAATAGATGCGCCAGCAGCGGAGGAACAAAACGAAGCGAATAAGCCCAAACAGCAAGAACAGTTTACAATCCTCGACGCCCTTTCAGCAACTGGCTTGCGCGCCCTCCGATATGCACACGAGATCCCATTCACCACCTCTGTCACAGCTAACGACCTTCTCCCGGAAGCTACACGAGCAATCAACCTGAACGTCCTCCATAATAAACTCACATCTAAGATCAACCCCGTCACTGGGAACGCAATAACTCACATGTACAACTTTGCTAGCGAGACACCCCTTGATTCTCATCGATACAAGCCCTCCAAGAAATACGATGTTATCGACCTCGACCCCTATGGCACGGCGGTCCCCTTCCTTGATGGAGCTGTTCAGGCTGTCCGTGATGATGGAGGCCTTCTCTGTGTAACCTGCACTGATGCTGGCGTCTGGGCCTCGAATGGCTACCCAGAGAAGTGCTACTCTTTATATGGCGGATTGCCGCTCAAGGGAATGCATTCGCATGAAGGCGGGTTGCGACTGATACTTCACGCCATCGCCACTTCTGCCGCGCGCTATGGGCTTGCTATTGAGCCTTTGCTCTCTTTGTCCATCGATTTCTACGCCAGGGTGTTTGTGAAGATTCACAAGTCCCCAGCAGACGTCAAATTTCTTGCTGGTAAAACAATGATGGTTTATAACTGCGACCAGGGATGCGGGTCTTGGGAGACGCAGCTTCTGGCAAAGAACCAGGTGCGGCCGAACAAGAGCGGGAAAGGCACTTTTTGGAAACATATATTTGCTCAAGCGCCTACCACAGGACAGAATTGTGAACACTGTGGGTGGCATAGACATCTGGGAGGGCCGATGTGGGCGGGCCCGCTGCACGACGCGAAGTTCATACGGCGTATTCTCGACGAGCTGCCAAAGGTCGATAAGGAGACTTACCAAACCACCACAAGACTCGAAGGAATGCTGAGTATGGCGCTGGAAGAGACACTACCACCCCCGCCGCGGACAGATAACCTCATTCCGCCACCGGTTCCAAAAGGGAGAGCGGATCCATCGGTAGTCGATCCATTCCCATTTTACTTCATTCCGTCAGTATTGTCGAAAGTGATTCATTGCATCACTCCCGACGAGAATGCCATTCGTGGTGCACTCAGACATGCGGGCTACAGGGTCACACGCAGCCACACCAAAGCAGGGACCATCAAAACGGATGCGCCGTGGAGTTTTATATGGGAGGTTATGCGTGAATGGGCAAGGCAAAAGGCCCCGGTTAGGGAAGGGGCTGTTAGAGAGGGAACTCCAGGATGGAAAGTAATGGGATTTGATAAGAAGAAGGCAGACAACGAAGAAGCAGGAAACGGGGACGGCGGAGGCAATGAGCGTCTGAAGATCGTCTTTGACGAGTCGCTCGGGAGAGAAACGGATAAAAAGAAGCTGGTGAGGTATCAAGTGAATCCCAGGGAGAACTGGGGACCAATGAATAGGGCCAGGGGTCCTCTATGAGACGACACATAAGAGTCCACATGGCCCATTTTTGATGTTAAATTAAGCGTTATTCATAAGCTTATAAGCCTACCACTTCGCTTTAGATTATTTGTTTCTGGATTATTAGACTTAATTAATCACAATTTCAGCGAAGAAAGGGCGCTCATCTGAACTTCCATTCAAATCCAATATATACTGAGCACGTGACTTCGTGTAATTTACGTGTCGTGGGCTTGAGACGAGGGACCAGGCGGGTACGAACTTCTTATCAACGCCAAATGTTCGCTCAGAAAGATGCAGTTATAACCACAACTGCGGTATGCCGAGTTGAAGTGAAGGGAAATACATAATGTGGGTCATTGAAAGTGATGGCGACACCTTTAACGGTATGTATTCGAAGTGGAAGACCAACCCCATGGTGGCAGGCTGCATGCTAATCTGGCACAGGCAAGCGACTCTGGCTTCGCCCAGGGAAAAGATTTATTTTGGGACGAACATTAGCAGATTGTAAGGTCTCTCTGAGCACCATCCTTCTCGTCTACTCACATGGCAGCTAGCCGGCGGCTTCGCGATCGCGAATAAAACCATATCCAGGAAGCACCTGGTTGTCGAAGTTGACGAAGTTAAGCCTGGAGATTGCGTGAGTTCATAGACCCTACCTTGAACAGATCATATTCCTAACATACCAAAGGGGCGTCTAAACACTCGATCGCGAATCACTCTGGAGGATCTCAATACAAAGATAGGAACGTTGGTCAATAATATTCAGATTAGAGGCCAGCGCCATGTACTGGAGGATAATGACTATGATATCCGGTTGGGGCAATATGAAAAGCTTTTCAGGTCTCGTCTTGCAGCCGACCTTTTGATCTTGACTTGATTACTGACAAGCTATAGAATTCGATGGATTCCAGTTGTCTTGACATTTTCCTTCACTGGAAAGGAACTCCGCAACAACCAGATCTCCTCGTTCGTTGAACTCCTGGAGCGCCTCGATATAAAGGTTCTCGTTGAATATGCGCACCAAAGTACAACCCATGTTGTGGCTAAGAAACGCAACACATCCAAAGGGCTCCAAGCACTCATCAACGGGAAATACATCGTCGACCACTCCTTCATCCACGCAATCGTCAACGTTACCACTGCTGATCCTGGCGCCGACTCAGCTCTTGAATCGGATTTTGACTCAAACTGGCCAAAAGAACTTGATCATCTCCCCCCTAAGGGCCCCGAACAGACGGACCGACCATCCTCGTCATACCAACCAGACCCTGCAAGGTTTACAATCTTCGAGGGCTACACGTTTGTGTTCTACGAACAATCGCAATTTGACAATCTAATTGCGCCAATAACGAACGGCAAAGGGAAGGCTTTGCTCCATCAGGTAAATCCAGCTAGTACAACGGCAGAGGAGTTCGTTCGATACGTGAAGAGCGTTGCAGGAGAAAAAGGCACGGGCGAATTTGAAGATGGTAGTACTGGGACAGGAGTGGTGGTTGTGAGATACCAACCCGTAAAAGGGCCAACATTACCGTTTTACTCCGATTTCGGCCAGCAAGTTTCATTGCAGCTTGATCACCGATTAATTGAGCAGAGCGAGTTCCTAGATGCTATTTTAAACAATGATGCTAGTGTGCTTCGGAGACCTCTCGAGCTTGAATCATCGGTCGTACCAGCAACGTTGATGACAGATGAGCCTCGTAGAGCCATTGCGAGTGCATTGGAAGAGAAGGCAGAAGCTAAACCTGCTGTAGTAGCACGTGGTACTGGCTTCTCTAGAAGCTCGGAAGAGAAGCAGCCGCCCTCAACTGAAACCGTTGAGCCACCATCGAGGCGAGTGGGAAGGTCGAGAAGGGCAGTGACAAGCAGGTTTACTGGCTTCGATGACGAGTTTGATGGTGGCAACACTGATAAACCAAATGAAACCATTGTACCTGCCAGCAGCTCGCTACCACAGGATTCTTCAGCCATGGACTACCAGAATACCACTGAAGTTGACCGAGCTGTAGTGTCGGAGGCGCCACGAGTGCGAACGAAGCGCCCACTCCCAAGGGTGGAGGAATCAGACAATGAGGATATAATGGATCAACTTGCTCCAGCCGCGGCGAAGCTGAAACGGTTGCGACTTGCTAATGGAGAACCGACACCGCCCCCTGGTCAGCCTTTGGCAACAGCGGAACCAAAAGCTCGTTCCGTAGAGCCCAAGGAGGCCGCAAAGAAACCCCGGAAACTCAAGAAAGAGGCCGATGCTCCTACATATTTGCAGCAGCAAGGGGTGGAAACCTCTCTCGCAAACTCCCAGCAAGATGCGTTGGGTGAGGGCGCTGAAGATGTGGATGCTGCCGAAGTCCGGAATCTCTCGTCTATTAAAGAAATGGAAGTCAGGCACCCAGGTGCAGCAGTACATGCGAGAGATGAAGCCAGGAGTGATCGCTGGGATGAGAAGTGGAACGGCCGTGTGAATTTCAAGAAATTCAGGAAGAAAGGGGGAGATAGGCCACCTGCCGCACACAAGGTTATCGTGTCGCTGGAAGTGGCCAAGCAAAAGGATTTCGGCATTGGTGATAGTTATTGGCTTAAGAACGATAAAGCATCCCAGCTGAGAAAGAAGGATAAGTCGCAAAGGACCAGCCAAAACGAGTCGTCAATCCAGTCTCAGACGCTCACAACGAGAAGCGATGTCGAAGAATCTATTATGGACTCATCTAACCAAGGGCCATCACTCTCGAAGTCGGTGAGGGATACTAGGAAATCAGAGAGCTTACCAAGTAGCGCTCACTCTGGCCGATCTGGGTCGAACAAGAGACCTTCTACTGCGGCTTTGATGAACCCGCCCCCAGTTAAAAAGGCGAAGCGCCCCTTTCAGAAAGAAGACAGTGACGACAGCGACGATGGACTTGGCTTCCGGTTCCAGAAGAGAAAATGATGCCAGTTTAGTTAGGGCCGATTATTACTCCCTACGAAAGCTGCTATGTGGATCCAGCTTATGCTGTCCTACAGCCGAACTGAAATTGGTCTATATTATCACCACACTTGATCAGCCGGATCCCAGTATGACTTTACGGGGCCAACTCGTGATTAAGTACTCGCAACATCTTCAGATCCGTCCCAGACTGCCCTACGTCGATCGTAGGCATCGCCAGGAAACAAGATGAGGGACGCGGCCGTGTAGGTCCATAATGTTCCAGCAGTATCGCCATCTCCTGTCGAAAAATGACATACAAGGAAGAGGCTATGCGGGATAAGGGATATGGTGGTTTGTGGCTGAACGAGGGTCTGCGGCGCAATTTGATGGAAATGCGCAATAATAGAGGCCCCTCTGTCAAGAGCCTGGCGAGCTTATGTGCTATTTATTATATAATACACCCATATTGAGTGGAAATGATAATCTTCATTCACCCTATAAAGTCTATGATTGACCTCTTAAGCCCCTTGATAGGTTGATAATAATGTAAACAAAAATCCATAGCAATTTGTGGAGTATTGGCAATCGCACCTAGTCCAAAAGTGCATAATCCAAGGGTATCATGTATCGATTAGTCTAGTACCTCAGTTTCTATCATTACACATGCCCGCTATAAATGCAGAGGAAACCTATATACTCTAGTCCATACTCTCTAATGCGCTGACCTCCTTTACCTCTGTCTCTCCCACAGCAATGCCAACCAAGCACGCCCCAAGCATCCCCTCCCAGTTCACCCAAGGATGGATCTCCGCGAATAACTTCGTGCCATCCCTCCCAGCACACTTCATGAGCTCAGGTTCCCCACCCGGATGGTATGGCAGATACGGCGTGATATTATACACCTTCCCGCCCAACACCGTCCAAGCATCCTTCCCCTTGCGCCCAGTATAGTGCCGCAACTGCGAGGGCGTGACCTTCAGATACGGAGTATCTGCCGGAAGCCCCCGCAGATTGGCATTCGGCGCCTCGGACAACTTGGCCCAATCAAGCGGGGAGTGACCAGGCGTCAATCCAACCTTTAGCCTGGGCTTGGGAGGAATCGAGCTATGTGTCGGTGGCGGCGCCAGGGAGAAGTTCCCACCGCGGTTTGGGGCTGGTGACCGTCCTGGCGGAGACGCGGAGTAGACTGAGCGAAGAGGGGGTTGCACTGAAGGTATTGGGTTTAACCGTGGCGCGCCGCGGCTGTCGGAAGCGCGTTGTGCGGAATTGAGAGCTGGGAAGGAGGGAAGCGCGGGGGCGGATAGTCCCTGCCCTCTCACAGATGGCTGTGATGGCGCAGCTAGGCCATTTTGAGGTGCCCCTCCTCGTGCAGGCAGAGCCCCATTGCTGGGTGCATTTGGCGGTTTAATCAGGAAGCTTGGAGGAGGAGGCATTGCCTTCCGATCCAGCTCAGCCTTGGCTTCCTTCACGCCCGCATCCGGAAGTGTAGTGTCCTCCTTGTCTTCCTTCTCCTCCTTGCCGTCTCCCTTGGTCTCACCCCCATCTTTTACCTGGCCCGCCTTTGTCTTATCCAGATCGCCATTCGAGACATCGCCACTGCTGTCAGCCGCCTTGGGGAACCAGGCGGCGAACCATGTTGAGGGCGGCACCTTGAAGAGGAAGATTGTGAAAGTGGCGATTAGTATTGACACGCCGATCAGAGTCATAACAGGGATGGACGCAGGGAAGGACGCCGCTATAGCCTTGGGGAGAGGCGAGGGTATAAATAAGATGAGATGTTATGCGATGCGGGTTGGTGTGAGGGGAAAATATATTATAGTTCGTGGAACAGAAGGTGCGATAAGCATATTAAGGCTTGCAGGCTGCGAGTAAGAGAGGAGATATTCTTGGCGGGGCAATAATAGTGTACTATCATCTGAGTTACTTGGCCCAAAGTACTTGTGTACTACCGAGGGTGGTGGGGGTGGTGGTGCTATGACAGGAGTACATAAATATAGGTATTAGCTATGCACTGTCCGTTTTTGTTTCACTCTTCTGTCCGCGTCCCATCGGTTGTCTTTGGTTGTCTTTGTTTACCTGCGAAAAGTAAACTGAGACAGGGGACAGACACCGCTGATGATGAGCTGCAGAGATTTGATCTGGTTACCATGTAAATAGTAGAAGACAGTAAATATAGCAGAGATAATATAATATATACTCCTTCTCCCCCGCTGATACTCATAAAGTAGAGGGGTAAATAAAGTAATTGTGTGGGTTGACAGTCAAATGACAAAAAGGTACAGTACATATTGGCGCATTTCCACGGCCAAACTCCAATCTAAGATCATAATAACCACGGCCCACTCCAAACAAGACCACACCGCATCATACCCAGTATCACCAACAACACCAACACCAACAGACAGTACAACCCGATTCTCCCGAGCTGCAACATCCCGACAGTCAAAAGGATTGCCTGCGCTGAACCCCGACGAGCAGAATGCGATAATGCGAGCGCCGAATGGTCCTCTGACTTCGAAGAGCGGCAATGCTATGCCTGTCGATAAGCCGAATCCTCATGGCCAGAGGCCCGTCATGTCGCCTTTGGGCGCAGCGGGCATGAAAACGATGAACACCACACCTTTAACTCCCAAGATCGCAGGCGCAATTCCTGCAAACGTTGTGACACCATTGCTTCGACGAGCAACGCGTCAGGACACTACCCCCAACGGCCCTCAGAGGGACGAACGCACAACAACCCCCGTCGGCTCCTTTCTCAGCGACAACATCACACCAAGGTCCGGGTCAAGAAAGTCGAGGCTGGATAGTGCGAACCCGACTCCCACTGGCACTCCGACAGCACTAAGACCAACGGAGCCCACTCTTGCATCTGGAGGCAATCTGGTGTATAGCGGGGGTCTGGGGCTGTCTCAACTCGACGACCTCCCGTCGAAGCCCACTGTCTCATTTAGCCCAACCATATCGGATATGGGAAGTGCACAAGACAGATCACAACATCAAACGCAGCAATCGCAGCAAGCGGGGAAGTTCTTCTATGCCAGCGACGCAAAATCGAATAACTCCCAGCCTGCTCGTCAACGCCCGGGTGCTCCAAAGCAGAACAGCTTCCTTTATGCAAACGGGAACGCAGTTCCCTCCCCCACAAACCAACCTGGACAATCACCAACTTTGCCCGCATCAGAAGATAAATCCAGGGCGAGATTTGTTCACGCCAATGGGACCCCGGATACTACAAAGCTACCATACACTCGCGCGGGGTCGACAGTGTCAACCACGCCATTTTCTGGACCACCTCGCCTTGCATTCCAGGGCCGGCCCTCATCACCTACGAAGCCTGCCGATCACAACAATACCTATGTGGCCAGAAGGATTTCAACCGTTTCGCCCCCTTCAATCCCAGTTTCCTATACTTCGCCTCCTTTAGCCCCAGCACCCTATATTTCGCCTCCTTTAGCTTCAGCACCCTATACTTCGCCTCCTTTAATCCAAGCGCCCTATACGTCACCACCACTTTATCAGAATCAGAATGGGGCCCCTACTTCCGGAGACGAGGGTCCAACGCCTAATCCTTTTTGGTCTCGTGCCAAATCTCCCAGCGTTGGCCAACTAGACGAGTCACGCTCGAACATAGAGTCGAATGAAGCTCGCAATGTGCCTCTGCCGGTTACTACTGACAGGACAAGCCTTTCTTCAACAGAGGAAGGTTCGGAGGCTGCCTTAGCAGATGATTCGTCCTCGGTTTCCGGATTGAGGAGCCCAGTGAAGGCGGGGGGTTCTCTGGAGCAGTTAAACGAACTTGCTGCCAATGCCCGACGGGAAAGGAAGGTGCTCGATCTCGAAATAACAAACTCGTCACTTGCAGCAATCAACCGAACCCTTGAGCGCGAGATGCGAAAGCAAAGCGCTGAACTACGGAGATATCGCCGACTGAGCCGGTCTGGGCGTCTCTCGATAGCCACAGCAGCAACCCGGTCCTCCATTGGTAGCCATCTAAGTCTGAGTGGAATTACCGAAGAAGATCAATTTTCCGATGTGAGCGGCGAGGAGTACGACGATGAAGACGACGACGACGCTTCTGAGTTGGACTCTGCCGATGACGGGACCCTCAGCCCTACTGCTTTGGCAGAAAGCGATGCACGCCACAGAAAGCGTGATGAAGAGAGATTACAGCTGGATCTAGAAAAACACCAGCAACTTCTGGTCGATAGCCAGAAGATGAATCAGAGTATAAAACGATGTCTTGGATGGACGGAAGAGCTTATACTTGAGGGTAATAAGGCACTAGCTTATAAAGTGCATGTCAGCGACGTTGAACTTGGAGGGCGCGTGCTTATTGCGGATGATAACGACGATGACACCGAGACCGTTGTCTCAGGAATGTGAACGGCCTTATCCATCAAAGCTCTCAGGATGAGGCGGCAATATTCCGAATTCGAACGGAGATCATCGCGCCAATGTCGCGGTCGAGATTTTGGAGGCGTTTATTGGGCGTAATTGCTACGGGATGGAGATGGTGCGCGGGCGACCAGATAATAACATCTTTGGCTTTGGGATTGTGTGTAGGGAGTTAGCAGCGTGGTATCGCTCGGAGTTTGTTGGGGGGAAGGAGGCTATGAGGTCCACTCGCTCATTTAACATCAGTTCATTTGTTCTGTACAGTATGATACCCAAGGCAGATATGCCGCCATTTGGCTAGGAAGACGAATAGGCTATTTTCATTTGTAAAAATATCGCTAGCTTAAATAAAGCACTTCAAATTGTGTTATAGGGGTCGTGTCAATGCTTTCGATGTGCAGTGTACGATTTCATGAATCATATAGCTGTAAAATTTGAAACTGCGAGTTGTAACAAATTGTTGAAAGTGGTTGGCAAGAACCCCAACCTTGATATCTCATGAAGCGTTATGGGTATCCACTCGGACATTATTCTGCATTGCTATCTCAATGACGTCTCACTTCTAAATTATCTACTCACCCCCTTTACTTTGGCACGTTTGGAGCGTCCGCAGCAGCAGCAGCAGCCTCAGCCTCCTTAGGTACAGGAGGCTTGGCGCCATCAGTCTTCTTATCCTTGCCCTTCTTCTTCTCCTTCTTGGCCGCAGCTTCTGCAACTAACTGTTCAAATGCCATATAATCACCCTCCTCCTCGGGGTTACGCTTAGCCTAATATAGTCAGCATCAAGTGACATAAAGATGGATCTGGAATGCAACATACCTTCGCATATATTTCACCACTGATAACCAGAGCCTGGGCTCTCTCCAGACGCTTCGACATCGGCACCCTTTTGTCGTGCAGAACCTCGTCACATACATCCCTAAGTACACCCTGGATTTCGAACTTGCTTCCGCGCCACGCAGCGGTGAGGATCTTTCCAGTTACTCGTCTCTCGTACTCAACACGTCTCTCATCGGTCCAGTCCTCTCCGCCCTTCTCCTCCATCTTGGCCATCTCCTCCATGGTCATCTGTGCGTCAATCGCGCTGGAAATAGTATTCCAAGTATCCTTTGCCAGGGTTCCCTTGTCCTTCAGCCGCGAAAAGAAGCCCCCTATTCCGAGGAACTTCTGTGACTTTAACAAAGCGCCAGCTTTCGACAAGTAGGTAGCTCCTATCGCGTGCAGAATATCGAGACCGAAGGATTCCATCTTCAAGTTCTCCACCTCAAGTCTCGTCTTCTCCTGGAATGCCTTGGTCACATCGTCTCCCTTGTCGGTCTCGGTCCAGATGCTGATTCGGTCAATCATCTTCTTGGCCAGAGTCTCCACGCGCTCCTTGCGGATATTTATGCGCTCCTTCTCGTATTCCGCCAACTGCTCACGTTGCTCTTTCGACAAACCACCTTTCTTCTTCTCCTTCTTACGAAGCTCTTTCTCCTCCTCGGTTATACCAGCAGCATCTAGTTGCGCCTCAGAGTCGCTCTTAGACATGATCGCAGGCCGCGTTGGTATTCCCCTCCCTGGGGTGGATGTGCCAGACGCAGGAGGTGAAGTCGGGTTCGACAATGGCTTCTCTGTCAGGGGGTCGATTTCGTAGCGTTTTCCTGTCGTATGGTCGAATGCATATGCCTTCTCTGTCGAAGGTTCGGCCGCATCGGCTGCCGATGCGGCAGGTGGGGGGGATGAAGTCGCTTTCTCGTCAGCCGGGGCTTTCTCCGCAGGGGAAGTCCCTGCTGCTGCCTCGGCTGCAGCAGCATGATCTCCGTCCTCTCCCTCAGCTTCCTCTGTCATGGTGATGTCCATCGTCTTTGTGAGATCCTTCATAAGTGATATTTCGCCGATCAGATCCACGAATGCGTCTCCTCCAAAGATCGTTCCGAAAAATTCGGCAGGATCCGTGAAGCCCTCACTGGGCTGGGCATGGTCTTTTCCGAATTTATCGTACGACCTCCTCAGGTCGGGGTCGCTGAGGACTTGGTAGGCTTCACCGATCGCTTGGAATTTGGCATGTGCAGTCTCGTCGCCGGGGTTTTTATCTGTCTCATCAGTCTTACGTTCCAAGGGTCCAAGTACCGCAAATGGGACCTACCTGGATGGTGTATGATGGCAAGCTTTCTGTATGCCTTCTTGATCTCCAACTCGGTGGCCTCCGGCTTTACCCCAAGGGCATTGTAGTAGGTGAGGTCTGCGACCATCTTGGCGATTTCCGAATGCGCCGATGTGAGGGGCAGAGGAGGGAACGGCTGTTCGCCGGGTTAGTGACGTCGGTTTAAGAGCGGGCAGTCTTATCTGACCTGATATGTTGTATGAGTTGAGAATAAACCCAAGCAATAGCCGGTTGATCGTTTGTGTTGATGAACAGATACAAATAGTATGGGTTGGTGGGGAGAAGTACAAGGCTGGTGGTTACTTTTCAGGTGGCGACGTTTGCCGCCATATCATCATCTGTGGCGCAGCACCCAAGAACCTAAGAACGTGGGCGGGAACGGAGCCACGATAAACAGGGCTTCACTGAAACTAACTATTCTGGTCAAATGGCGGGATGATATAAAATTTCCAGGGGTTCTTTTTTACGATAATTTCACATCATATGAAATAGAGCTCAACAGCCGATGTCATACGAGAGTTTCATACTATTTTATAAATCCGTCTGTAGCCTTGGTATATATTAGAGTGATATATAGATGGAGGCAAAGATTGCTCTGGATAGGTCGGCAAGATCAGGTTTAGTTAGTCACTGAGTAGATACAACAGGTCATAAGTCAGGAGAGGTGTTGGTCGGGGGAGATAGTCCAAAGTGCCATTCAGCCCGTGTGTGTTTGTGATGGTAAAGTCAGATTATTCTAGCTACAAAAGTAGAAGACATCAATAGAGCTTTTGATCAATAAACTCCGAGGCGGAACCAATTAAGTCAGTTTTTCTAGCTGTTCATTTGTCTCCCTCTACTGCACGCCAGCCTTGGCCATGCGCTGGAAGCACTGTGCGTACGCCTCGTGGACCTCTGGGACCTCGAAGTTGTACTCCTTAAGCTTGGTGATCAGCTTGGTGGTATCAAGCTTGCAGTTGCTGCGGCCGGCCTTGATGACCTTTGCTTGCTCCTCCAGGGAGAAGTTCTTCCAGGTGAAATCTGGGCGGACGTATTGCTTGAAGAGGGTAAGGACCTCGTTGTGGGAGATGGCGCCGGGGTTGGTGAAGTTGTAGATGCCAGTCTCCTGGTGCTCGGCAAGGAGGATGGAGGCAGGGAGCAGGTCGTGGAGGAGAGTGTTGGAGTTGGGGATATCAACGACACGCTCGTACTTGGAGATCTTGGTGACGAAGTTACGGCTGTGGAGGTCGTCGCTGACGGGCATTCTCAGTCTCAGGATGAGGACATTTGGGTAGGTTTTCATGACCTGGGAAATAATGTTAGCTTTCATGTCTCTTGTGGGCAACGACGCTTTCACTCACCTCCTCAACGTGGGCCTTGGTCTCGGAGTAGAAAGAGCCATCGAAGTTGGCCTTGTCGGTCTCGAGGTAGCCTGGACCGCCGATGGGGTGCTTCTCATCGTATGTGTAGATGCATCCGGTGGCGAAGACAGTCAAGTGGATCTTCTCGAGGAAACAGCAATCGGCCAAGTTCAAGGTGCCGATGACATTGCTGCGGATGGTATCCTCCTTGTTGTCCTCACACCAATCAACGTTGGGGCGACCAGTGCAACCAGCACAGTTGAGAACGTGAGTTGGCTTGACTCTCTGGAGCTCAGCGATGACAGCCTCACGGTTTTGCATGCGGACAGTGGTGGTAGTAACGGTCTTGCCTTGGCTCTCGAGGAGAGTCTTGAGGTGACCGGCAACCCATCCTGCTCCACCCCAGATGAGGTAGGAAGGCTTCTCGGTGGCAGTGGTGGAGGCCATTATGAATTTATTTGAAGATTTGAAAGTGTAAATTGTATATTGATTTGATATAAGAGGGAGATGGGGATTTGAGGGTTTTGATGTAAATGTTGGGAGGTGGGAGATGGAAGAGTTGTTTACGAAGAAGGAAGGAGAGAGAGAGGGGCGGGGGGGGGGGGGCGGGGGAGGGGGGAAAGGGGGGGGGATTAGAATATACGGTGAAGAAAGTGCCCACGGTGCGTATAGTGTACAAGTTGTGGGTGTACTAGATAGCTTAGTAATATTAGTGTGGTCCAAGCTTCTGGCTGCATACAGATCCCACCATGAACGGTTTCACCTCACCACGGGTACCTGAAGAACTACTCGAGTATAGAGGGGTACATTATCACGTGAATATTTTATTTTTGTCGGTGGGTGGGTGTAGCTATTATTATCGATACGAATACTATACTATATAATTTGTAATAAAGGATCGTATGAGAGAGTATAGAGTATAGAATCAGATAGAGTACAGCGTAGTATTCTGAGTTTGTAGTCTTACTGTACTTCGTATCCTCACTCTGGTCACTCTGCATGTATACTCTAGTACAAAATACGTGTACAAGTACTTTTGTATCGGTTTCTGGCTTTCTCAAGCCTCTCACAATTTCACAGATGTGGCGTGGAGAATCCTAAATACCTGCCTGAGGCTGCCTGAGGCTGCCTACTACTTATACTTACAAACCCATAGCCGAGACTGCTCTTTTCTCTGGTCTTCGCTATCGCCAGTTTGCTTAAGTAAGCTAACTGCAACAAACCACCAACTACTTGCTGACTAATCTCCGCTACGGAAATACTCTACCCCGATATTCCGTGTGCTCCGTAGTTGATAGGGAGCGAATCTTCCGATTCGACTCTCAAAATCGCTTTTTAGGGGTACGAGGGTGAGATAGTTCAGGCTAATCAAATTAAAGGAGATTATCTTCCTTCCAGAACATCGCTGGGGAAACCATTTCAGCGTACTCTACTGTATAATACTCCCTACTTCACATGCTATTATAGAGTTATAGAGTACTTTTAGTACTGCAGTAGTTCAGAATAGCCCTCTTCTCCTCGCTAGAGTACATAATACTCTACATACTCTTTCTCCTCACCTCCGCCCCGACCCCGTACCCCAAATTCTGTAAGCTCCACTGGGCAACTTACCTCATTTGACATCTTACCTCCGCCTCCGCATCAACTTCACCACAAACCAGACACCGATTTACTACTCTCCGGCGACATTCCGCCTTCACCTCAATCATGGTTTCTGCTAGCCAGGCTCTATACCTTGCGCTCCATCCTTTCCAATTGCGCTCAATTGTCCAATGGTTCGTGCGGACATTCTGAACCCAAAGCGATGATGCTAACCCGTCGCATGTAGGAAGGTGTGGCATGATCCAGTCCATACTCGGGACAAAAAAACAGAATGCGAAACTCTTCAAAAATGCTTCGTGCATCTGGAAAATACAAGCCGCAGTTTCAGCATGGTCATTCAAGAGCTGAACCCAGAGTTGCTCGTCCCGGTCGCTCTCTTCTACCTGATCCTTCGCGGCCTTGACACAGTCGAGGACGACATGACCATTCCATTAGAGGACAAAGAGCCGATATTGAGAGATTTCCATAACATCATGGAGAAGGATGGCTGGAATTTCAATGGTAACGGCCCAGATGAGAAGGATCGTGGTCTGCTGGTGGACTTCGACGTCGTTATCACGGAATACAAGAAGGTGAAGCCGGTATATCAAGCGATCATCAAGGACATCACGGATAAAATGGGCAATGGCATGGCGGATTACGCTAACAATGCCGAACACAACGTGAACGGCGTCAACACGATCAAAGACTACGAGCTGTACTGCCATTATGTTGCTGGGCTTGTAGGAGACGGCTTGACCAGACTTTTTGTCGAGAGTGGATTGGCCAATCCGGCACTTCTCCAACGCCCACACCTGTCCGAATCCATGGGACAGTTCCTGCAGAAGACAAATATCATTCGTGATATTCGCGAAGACTTCGACGACAAACGGAGGTTCTGGCCAAAGGAGATCTGGTCGAAGCACGTTGAGAAATTCGAGGACCTGTTCAAGCCCGAAAACCAGACAGTAGCTCTTGCATGCAGCTCGGAAATGGTGTTGAACTCCCTTCGCCACGCGGACGAATGCCTCTTCTACTTGGCTGGAATTAAAGACCAGAGTGTTTTCAACTTCACGGCCATCCCCCAGGCCATGGCCATTGCGACACTCGAGCTCGTTTTCCAAAACCCCAAAATTTTCCACCAAAACATCAAGATCACCAAGGGTGACGCGTGCGAGTTGATGATCCAGTCTACCCAAAACCTTCGGATTGTCTGTGGAGTTTTCAAGACATACACACGAAAGATTGCCAAGAAGAATTCACCGACAGATCCGAATTTCCTGGAAATTAGCATTGCTTGTGGCAAGGTATGTCCTGCGAAGGAGCCCTCGTTTTTCAGGGGCAAATAGCTAATGCTGGTTTAGATCGAGCAATTTATCGAGTCCATATTTCCATCCCAAGACCCTAAGGCTGCCACGCTCGCAGCTACTGACCCAACCGCAGAGGAGGCGGCACAGAAGTCAGAAGCTACGACAGACACCGTCTACCTTATGGCCGCCGTCCTCGGGACACTTTTCGTTATTTCTTTCCTGATGGTAATCTACCCAATATATTCCCGCATCATCTGCAGACGATCTAATGTGTAATTTAGCTTGGTGCTGCATATCTTGCAGGAGCAAGATTTGATATTGCTTTCCAGGAGCTCCGTGGAAGTAAGTTATTCGGTGGCAGCGAGTCATCGCTTACCCAGGGCGAGCACGTGGAGCTATAGCTACATTTATAATACAACATCTTTCCGGGTTAGCGATACTCAATTCGGCATTAACAAACCTGGCAATGACCTAGATCATTGTGGGTATGTGCATTTGATACAAATCATCTGTAGGCTTGGGCCCACATAAACGGAATAAGTATCCCGGGGCTTCCTTATAGTGGTTTGGTCTTCTGAGTTGCCAAAACATTTAATTCCTGGAGCAGCGCCTACTTTCATCAATTCTGCTCTTGAAATAGCGAATATAGGGGAAATATCAAGTATCCCGTCTTGTGGGAGGGTGGTGTATTCTGTAACATAGCGGGTGTGGTCGTACAAGGCAGACGGCGGGCAGGCCCTTTGGTTAAGTTAATGGCACGAGCGACGATAACATATTGCTACTGCGAGAACCTCTTGAATGGCTACTATAGTAACACTTCTAATTCAAACTATCTTCTAACTTTCTTCGATTGACTGAATGCTACAGCTGTATATCACGTTACATAAAGCTAAGCAAGCCCAATTTGTTCTAGATTGAGTTACAAGAAGTCGATCGATTACTGTAGATCTACCCTGTTACTAGATTGCCCTAGCAGCACCATGCACGCGTCACTCCAAGTCGATGAATTAACTCAGTTACACCCAAGTTTAGGACGATTTATATGCTCTATTGTGGGGTAATTAGGTGAGGGGTATTGAGTGGCAAGCCGTATGTTGCCATGTGGACTAGAATACTAACTACTACTCCCATACATATATATATATCTATGAGAGTGATAATGAGTATCTCAACCTGACAATCCAAGTTTGGCACCATACCGCTCTCTGAAATAAGATGAAGCTTTTGTATACTCTCCCCGCTGGTGCTTGCCTTTTCGCATGTGCTGTAGCCAGCAATGCTCCTAAAGCCTACGAGCCAAAATATCGCCTTTCCCCTATCGATGGCTCCAAGATTGCATTACCGACAGCAGAGCAGCTCGCATTTCAAGATAAAGAAATCGGTGTACTCATCCACTATAACATTGCCACTGACATCGGCAGCGACGGCTGCAATTATGACCCAAAGCTTGTGCCTGACCAAGCTCTGTTCAACCCTGCCTTGATAAATACTGATCAGTCGATGGAAAGAATCACTGCTCTAGGTGGGAAGTATGCCACGCTTGTGGCCAAGCACAACTGCGGATTCACGATATGGCCGACTAAGGTGAAATTCCAACTCTCAACAAGATGACAATCCCCTACAACTATACCATTGAGCAGTCGCCTGCCCATGGAGAGAGTGTTGTCGAGAGTTTTGTAGAGTCGGCCCAAAAGTACAGAATTGGACACGGCTTCTACTACAGCGTTGTAGTCAACAACTTTTTGAACGTACAGAATGCTGAGGTTCTGAACACCTCCCTGGCATGGGGACAGGTCGGTATTAGTGACAGCACATATGGCCAGATTGTATTCGATCAATTAACGGAGTTATGGACACAGTATGGAAATTTGACTGAAGTAAGAACCAGAATAAGACCTCTCACGCTTCGTCGCTAACAGGGTTGATTCGCTGGATAGATTTGGCTGGATGGTGGATATGGCTCAACTCAGATGAATGATATTCAGAGTCTCCTGGAAGCTCATCAACCTCAAGCTGTCGTCTTCGGTGCTTGTGACAAGAACAGCACTTGTGTTTCCGCTAATCCAGGCAAGTTCAATCCCGTGGCTGCAATAAACTTGATCTAAGCTGGCCTTGACAGTTCGATGGATTGGGAAGGAAACTGGAGAAGCCCCTGAAGAGACTTGGTCAACGTGAGAATGTTATATGCCCCCTGCACGAGCTTATTTCTAACTTTTTCCTAAGAGGCACTACAAGTGATGGTGGCGATCCTACAAGCCCTATTTTCTGCCCGGCTGAATGTGATACTACTCTGCAAACTGACGACCGCTGGTTCTTCGGTGTCGACCAACCTCTACGATCTATTGAAGAAATGATTGATGTCTATCACACGAGTGTGGGCCGCAATTGCGTCTTGGAACTAGATCTCGCCCCTGATCGCGGCGGTCTTATCCCTGCTCGCCATGCTGCCTGTTACAAGAAATTAGGTGATTTCATTAGGTCCTGTTGTGACAAACCCATCGCTCCTAAGGACACCAAACCTAAAAATGAGGCCGGCAGCTATTCTTTAACTTTCGACTTTCCAACTGTGATTGATCGCATTGTATTAATGGAGGATCAAACGAATGGTCTAGTGATTCGATCATATCAGGCCCATGCCAAGATTGTCGATGCGGAGGAAGCCAACGGCACCCTCAATGTACCCTGGACTTTGGTATCAAACGGTACCAGTGTTGGCCACAAGAAGATTGATTTTTTTGATAAGGCCATTACCGTCACCGACGTATTAGTGAACTCCACATACGTCGACATTCCCAAATGGCGATCGGTTTCTGTGCATCTTTGCGGTAGTTTAACCTATAATTAGGTAGTAATACTACGCAAACCATTAGGTTGTAAATTACTTTTGTTAGAAAATATCAGAATTACCACCTAAATTATCATAAATAATAGACCTGTTACTAAAGTTATTAACATTAACGTAAGTCGTGGCGTACTGGCGGGAATGGCGTACTGGCGGTAGTGGGGTTGCAGCTACCCTATCAACAACTTCAAAAAATCGAAATAATTCAATTACTACAGCCCTAATTCATCTATATCATCATCAGAAGGCTCTTCTTTGCTCTCTTCGCTCTCTTCATCCATTTCCTTAATTATAGCTTCGTTTATAGGTCGTGGCGTTGTTGTAGGCCTCTGTGAAGCTATTGCTGTTGCTGCTTCTGCTTCTACAACTTACGACTGGAGTTCTTCTATAGAAATGTGGAATTGACCCTCTAAAACTGCTCTCTTACCCTTATTCTATACTCTACGCTTCTAAATAATTAAGCGTAAGTTATCACACTCTCTTTTTTAAAGGGTGTTGCGTGTATTAAGGCGCTCTAACTCGTCTGCTAACTTATTAATATATCGCTTTGTAAGAGTATTCAAAACACCTTGATTTAAGGCTGTAGAGAGCACAGAATTCGCTTTATAAAGGGTATTAAAATCAGGCAGACTACTATTTAAGAATACCTTCTTAAAAATATCATGCTCTATAGGAGTATGTAGTCGTTCTACTACTACTACGTCTGTAGTAACGTAAGTCGTGGCGTAACCGGCACAATGGTGTAACCGGCATAATGTCACTTTACACTGAACTTTGTATAGAAAGGTACTTACTTCTAATGATTTTTGAAATGATCATAACTTTTGCACTTTTGACTGTACAACTTAGCTCTTTTGTATGGTAATAGTACACATATTGTCCTATTATGTATAGAAGCTATAAAATATTCACGACGTTATTAAAAAAAGTTGATTTTTTTTGGTGAGGGAACAACACATGATTATGCCGGTTACGCCATTGTGCCGGTTACGCCACGACTTACGTTAGGAAGTGTAGCTGCTTATATAACTGTCTGTAGCTAAAATGGCTGTAGCCCACTCCCTCTCTAAGCAGAATTAATATTTAAAGTCAAAAAACTAGCTGCTCTTGCAGTAATATATGCTTCTAGCTACTCTACTTTTTGTATTTATAGGAGTTATGCCTCATTTAGGTGTAAGAGAGCAGTTGTAAGGTATTGCTTTAAGGGCCTAAAAATTGAAATATTAAGTGGCTGTAGAACATAAGATATATAAGGAGGTATTATAAGGAGCAATATTCGATTTTAAATGTAGTATAATATAAAGCTTCTACTTATATAGCTATTATAGCTATTACAGCTATTACAAATTAGGAGCTGTTACTATAGTTGTCTATTTTATGTTACTTTTGCTCTTATAGAGGGCTTAAAAACGCGTTTTAGCTACTCTAATCTATAAAGATTGCTTGTCTATCCTTTTGTATTTATAGAGAAGTGTTATTTTTATATAACCTCCTTTAGAATCTAGCTTTGTAAGATGTTCTAGCCCTTAAATATAATAAGGGGCTTAATAGCTGTTCTATCTATACAGATGTATTCAACAGCAGACACCCATTCCTATTAGCTAGGATAAGCCTGAAAACGCATACAGAGCGTAACGTAAGTCGTGGCGTAACCGGCACAATGGCGTAACCAGCATAATCATGTAGTGTCCCCTTACCAAAAAAAATCAACTTTTTTAATAAGGTCGTAGATATTTTCTAGGCTCTATAGATAATACGTTAATATGCGTACTATTACCATACATAAGGGCTAAGCTATATAATTAAAATTGCAAAAGTTATAATCATTTAAAAAATCATTAGAAGTAAGTACCTTTCTATAGAAAGTTTGGTGTAGAGTGACATTATGCTGGTTACGCCATTGTGCTGGTTACGCCACAACTTACGTTTATAGTTCTAATTGAAAATCTAGTTTCATCTAACGTAGGTCGTGGCGTAACAGGTGTAATAGCGTAACGGGGGTATGTACCTTTATAGCTAAACTTGTAAGCAATAGTACTTAGAACCAAAAACTTTAAACCTAAATAACTCTATGAATAAAATTAGTAAAGCTTATTCCTTGTATATATTAGAACTGTATATAATACTCTTTTACATAAAAAAACGCTAGTAGCACTATAATTGTTTTGCATAAGTTATTAAAGGTCTAAGATTTTACTATACAAAATATTAGTATAGTAAATCTATAATTGTTAATAACTTCCTTATATAACTAGCTTACAGGCTGAAATTTCTAAGTCGAATATATGTATATATGAAGTTTCTATATACAAAAGTATTATACTTTACATCACCTACTTAAGTAGTTATTAAAGGTTTTAATTCTAGTCACGTAATATAAATTCGCTAGCAAAATACCACTACCCCCGTTACGCCATTACACCTGTTACGCCACGACCTACGTTATATTATAAGTGTTGTAGTTTTCGATTTTTTGCTTTGTTATAAGGCTCTTATACGCGTCAAACCACCCCTTTAACACCTGCTTTGTGACCCTATTCATCCTCTGTGCCTTAACTCTATGTCCTAACTTAACACGTAAGTTAGGATGCCTTTAAATGAATCGTGGAACCCACTCTTGCCTAAGAGGTAAGTTAGGTATTTAAGGTTGAGGTTGTTGTTGTGTTTGTTGTGTTTGTTGTTGCTGTTGTTGTAGTTAAGGCTTAAAAACGCAACACTTATTTGACTGGACTTTATCTGCAACCTCTCGTAATATCTGATGGCTAGGAGCGTAGCTGCTTGCAGTAAGCTCCTTAATCTACTTTAAGAGCGTTTGCTCTTGATTTTTTGACAGGAGCTGTTGTTGTTGTCGCGCCTCACGTCGCGTAGAGCTACCTCTTAGACGCTTAAGGACAGTATTAGGGTGTAGGCCTAGAGCAATTGCTGCAGCATTTGCTGATTTAAATTTTCCTAACCTAACTCCTTCAATTGCCTTAGAAACACGTAAATCAAGCTCTTGAGCCTTAATATTCTTACGTTTCACCATTTTTAACTATATAGTAGAAGTAGTAACTACCAGTCAGCTGGTTTGATGGGGTCACTGCTACCACTACCCCGCTAAATTGTCACTTAGACCATGGCAGCACTTAGGCCATGACCTACGTTACTCTAGTATGCCTAAGTCCTTTGTAGCTGCGTACACAGACTTATATTGATTTGATTTAACAGCTAATACTGCTTTCTATATTTCGATTTCACGTTCTAGAGCCTTTAAACTCCTCTTACGGACCATTCTGTTCTAGTAATTGAATTATTTCGATTTTTTAAAGTTGTTGATGGGGTAGCTGCAACCCTACTACCGCTAGTACGCCATTCCCGCCAGTACGCCACGACTTACGTTACACAAATTACTACATATTATAAAGCTATTGTTACAGTTTATAAACCGACCTAAGACTAACGTAAGTCGTGGCGTAACCGGCACAATGGCGTAACCGGTATAATGTCACTCTACACCAAACTTTCTATAGAAAGGTACTTACTTCTAATGATTTTTTAAATGATTATAACTTTTGCAATTTTAATTGTATAGCTTAGCCCTTATGTATAGTAATAGTACGCATATTAACGTATTATCTGCAGAGCCTAGAAAATATCCACGACCTTATTAAAAAAGTTGATTTTTTTTGGTAAGGGGACACCACATGATTATGCCGGTTACGCCATTGTGCCGGTTACGCCACGACTTACGTTACTGTAAGAGTAGGCGTTCTACTTTTGCATAGTTTAATGGTTTTTAACAGTTATATATTTGTAGTTAACATCTAATTTACTATCTAAATTATTAAAATTATTTAACCTCCTATGTAACTAATTATAAATATTAAAATCAGTTTTATAATTACAAGTTGTTCTTGTATAGTAAACTGTTAGAGTGGCAACGCACGTGACAACAGTTGTCACGTGTAAACAAACAACAACTTACGTGATAACTTAGAACATGTGTAGGAACAACAACAAAATAACAAAACTACGTGATAACCTAGAGCATAACGTAAGTTAATTTTGGTCATGTGACCTTGATTTTGGTGGGGTGCGGGTGCTCTAGCAAAGCGTCCCGTTACGCCATCCGTCCCGTTACGCCACGACTTACGTTAGGTGTAGAAGGTACAGCTTACGTGATAACCTAGAACACAAGTAGAATAGTACGCTAGTAGGTTTATACAAAAGGAGACCCCTCTATATAAACATAGAATTAGACCTTTAGAAATAGACAAGTTTTTTCCTTCTAAGACTTAAGCCCCTATAAAGCCAACACCTAGCCTAGGCATTATAGAACCTAAGGATTATAAAAAAGCTATAAATTCTAAATATAAAGAATATTAGTTAAAAGTACTAGAAAAGGAATTAGAGTCCTTAAAAGTAATAATACATAGGATTTAGTACCTAAACCTAAGAACGCTAAAGTCCTTAATACAAGATGGGTTTATAAGTTAAAACCTAATAAGGATAATACTGTTTGTATAAAGGGTTTTCCTTTCGTATAAACCTACTAGCGTACTATTTGTATAGGGAAGTTAGACATATAGGGTAGTTAGATAAAAATGCCCTACTACTAACTTAGAACCTTTGTACCTTCTACTAGAGAAACATTAATTTTGGTAATAATATAAGAGGATTAAGCTTTATAACCATTATTATAGAAGTTATTAAGGTTTTAATGTTAGTTACGTAACGTGGATTTTGGTGTGGTTTCTGAAATTGTCGCTTACGCCATGGCAGCGCTTACGCCATGACCTACGTTAACGCATAAGAATCATAAGAACTATATAAGATAAGCAACTAGCCTAAGTCTAGTCCCTAACTAGGACGTAGGCGTAGAGATATAGATGTAATATGGATGCTAGGCAGTATATAAACCTCTGGATCCCTTCTGTCAGCTTCTGGTCTTTCCTCCAAACTCACCCGTTCACGGTCATCTCATGGGATGCAAAGGACCAGTGATCTCCTGATCGAGCCTCGGAGATGGCTCACGCGAGAGCTGTTGTACTACGCGGAGAAAGGCTATACCATAAACCCCCTCGTCATGTTCAGTGGCCCTTACGGAGGCACCCTGTCGATGGGCGAGTACGAGAGCGTCCTAATGGTGGCGAGTGGCTTCAGCATCGCTGCCTTCGTACCACACCTGAAGAAGCTAATCTACGGCTATAACACTCGCGCGGTCCAAACTCGCCGCATTCATCTAGTGTGGCAGATAAAGAATGAAGGTGGGATTGTTGTATGCAATATGCAAATCCGTACCAAAGCTAATAGTGTAGCTAACGGTCTTATAGTTTAGGAACCACTTAACATTGCGCTAGAGGAGGATAAATTAGATGATGGCTATGTACGTTCAGTGAAACCCTCTAAACTACAGCTAATGATTACCCGGACTAGATCCTCTTGATTTCAGTGTATGTTGAAACTATGAGCTTGCCTAAAAAGCCATTTGGCGAACGACCTACTATGTATCCGGGGTCCGGTCCCTTGCTAGAGATCTTCCTCGCAGAGCTCTTAGGAAATAATATCAAGGTCTACGCAGCGGAAGTCAGTGCTAAAGGACAGAAGGCTTTAGAACAGAGCGAGTTAACATCTAGTACGCTTTAGGGTAATGTTGAATCCGGGAGTAGGTAGACAGTGGCAGGAGATGGAGGGATGCTTGTTGTAGGTAAGTACTCTACGGTCTGCCATGTGTGTAGTGCTAACAGACGAAAGCGTCTAGCTTAGACGTGATTAGAGACGATTTATAGGCGGTCGTGAGGAAGTATATGCAGATAGGGGTGAAATTCGTAGAACTAGATTACCAGCTAAAGTAGATAGGTTACGCGTAGATAGCTAGAGTTTTTGTAGCTTATTTATAAAGCCTTAGAGAGTGCTCCTAGCTAGGTGGCACTCTAAAGGGTACCCTTGTAGGCGAGGGGAACGCCTAGGATTGTAGAGTCGTAGGGAGGATCCTCCTAGGACGCTAGTGCCTTAAGGAGGAAGTCCCTAGGAGCACCCACTGCCTAGGCGGATCCTCTTAGGATCCCTACCATCTAAGGAGGACCCTCCTAGGCGCTCATACATCTAAGGAGTTTGCTCCAGGTTCGCCTCTGCTCTGTGGACAAAGCTCCTCGGAGACTCTCTCTCCTAAGAGAACACCCCCTAGAGGGCTCGACTCCTATAAGCCCACCGCCCCCGTGAGCTTTCTCTTTAGCGTAGTGTTTTCTTACAAGGTCTTACGTGATGCCCGCTCATACACAGAAGAGAGTCGGAAGGTGAAAGGTCTGAGATATTGAGTGTTCCGAGTGACGCCTCCCTGTAATTTGCATTGCTAAATAGGACTGTTTATTGTTGTCTATTTAAGCTTCCCAACCGCGAGTGGCCGTATCGACGTATCGATTGCCGATGCTGACGTGCGTGGAATAACGTCCCTCCCCATGTAGAGGAAAACCCACTCTGGAGGAGAATATGATGGATACTTTGACTTCAATCATCTCAAAATCTGTGCACGCATTAACATCTCTCATATTTTAGCATAAGCCGTGTTCCGTGACCACTCCTGAACACTCTGAACCCCTCCAACAATGCCGGCTCCATGGAGCGCCGTACTCAATACTTCTGACCAAAGCTACCAAACGATTCTTACGGTCGCTAGCGAAACTGGATCCTCTTTGGGTGCCGCGGAGGTATAGCTGAGCCTTAGCGGAGATTTATCATGGAGCAAGCGCATTTTAGCGTCGACTAACTATCTGCACGGGCCACGGATCTCAGTTGTCTTCTCGAGTCTTCGGTACTATATCCCAACATAGTAATGTTTTACTGTCTTACCTTGGCAGAAGGCATCCAATACAAAAATGCCGACATGAACAGCAGATCTGTGTTTGACACGTCTGTAACATTCACGACCAACCGAGCAGATCAAATGTTTCACGCTGGAAGACACGTTAAATCAGCTTTCTTTATACGCCAATGGGGTCGATGTTCCTAAAACTATAATCCGAATTTAAGTGGTCATCCTGAACGGGCCGCCCGCACCATTTAATTGTCGCATCTCGGACCATTAGTTAACATAAGGTTGCGATCTACACAGCTTTGTTGGCTGAGCATTGCACTTCTTTTAAATAGCGATATCAGTCCCTCAACTGTAGTCATTGAAATAACATCCAGTGTTAGAGGCTTACTACCACCCGATATGCGTTTCCTACTGACTACTATTGCGTTCTTGTTCAGTATCAGTTCGGTGATGGCATCTCAATGTTCTGGTTGTTGGCAGGATGTGGACCCTAACTCGACAGATATAACAAACGTGATCGAGAAGGCTCGTTCGCACATAAGTATGCAGAGAAATTCTCAATTTCAGTTGAAAGTGACGGAAATTAGCGACGTCAAGAGACAGGTTGTGGCTGGGTTCAAGTATAAATTCAAACTTGTGAGTGATGATGGCCACCCTACGGCAGTGTGACTTCTATTGTATGCGCCAGTGCTAACTAAGAATAAATAGATTCTATGCACAACTGAATGCAAAAAACCCAACGATAAACTTATCATCGAAGATTGTCAGTGTCAGGATGGAGGTGCAATACTCACATGTAAAGTGACATTTGTTGAAAGAGCTTGGCAAAACTACAGGGAGGTTACAAATTCTGAATGTGAGCCTCCGTTGATTCTAGTTTCCTATTTGAATGGACATGATTTCGATATACAGGGTTGGCTGAACATGAGACTGGCAGGTTCCGAGGAAATTCCCAATCTGACATGAATGGAGATGGAATGTGGCAAATAATGGAGGTGATAACGGGGTATTTTAGATGTTTAATTGAAGAAGGAACAAGTATCTATAAGGAGAAGTCAACTCATCGACTGTCGCATGTCCACGAGGAACTCTGTTGCACTATTGCACTATAAAAGTAGACTTTCTGCAAATTAGGCGTGAGGGCGACGAGGCAACCGTGATTTTCTAGGCGACCGAGTGTTCGCTCGCTGCCTGTCAAGGCCACACATGGTGCATGTTAGGGCTGAAACATGCAACCAATATGCCGTAGGATAGTTTGAGAAGGCTAATATTAGAACTACTACCCTAGAATTTTCTACTATTATATAACATAAAAAATAAATAACATATGTTAATTAATGCTACATAACATACTTTTAAGATTAAAAATCATAATACTACTATTTCTTACTACCTGTTAGAGTGGCAACGCACGTAACTATGGTTGTCACGTGTATACAAACAAACAACAACTCACGTAACGATTAGAACACGTGTAGGAACAACAACACTACGCGATAACCTAGAGCACGGGTATAGAAGGGTACAGTTCACGTGATAACCTAGAGCACGTGTAGATTAGTACGCTAGTAGGTTTATACAAAAGGAATACCCTTATACAAACATAGAATTAGACCTTTAGAAATAGACAAGTTTTTTCCTTCTAAGACTCGAGCCCCTATAAAGCCAACACTACTACCTTTTGATTTTTTTATAATCTTTATTATAATAACAAATTAACAATAATAATAATACTATAAGCTATAACGTAGGTCATAGTGTAAGCAGCGATTCTGAAAACCACACCAAAATCTAGAGCTGAGCTGCGTTACTACAACTTAACTACTACTACTACAATGGTAGAAAACAGGAGTATTAAGGCTCAAAAACTCAATTTACGACTATCTGAAGTAGTTTTTGAGTTCATACAGGAAAATATAAATCCGCGCAAGCTGCGGCTATAGCCCTAGGGCTAATGCCAGACGCTGTCTGTAGGCGCTTACGCGGTACACCTTCACGTGTAGAAGCGCGTCAAAAGTAACAACTCCTATCAAAAAATCAAGAAAAGACACTTTTAAAGTAGATTAAAGAGCTTACTATAAGCGGCTACGCTCCTAGCCATTAGATATTACAGGAGGTTGCAGATAAAGTCTAGTTAAATAAGTGTTGCGTTTTTCAGCCTCAACACCTACAGCTTCAGCAACTACAACTACAACTATAACCTCAAATTCCTAACTTACCTCTTAGGCAAGATTAGGTTCTACAATTCATTTAAAGGCATCCTAACTTACGTGTTAAGTTAGGACGTAACGTGAGTCATGGCCTTACCAACATAGTAGGGTTAGCCACCCTATTAAAAGCTTTAAAAGATCGCAAATAATTTAATTACTACCAACATAGTAGGGTTAGCCACCCTATTAAAAGCTTTAAAAGATCGCAAATAATTTAATTACTACTACCCTAATTCATCTATATTATCCTTAGAAGGCTCTTCTTTACTCTCTTTATCTATTTCCTTGAAAAACCGCGCGAATGTCTCGGGCCAGTGACATGTATCGCCAGAATCTAGACCGACGATTTCAACATTAATCACTATGTATAGTCGTGACATTCCGGTAATGACTGATCTGAGAAGGTCGAACCATTCACTCTCTGTTGTGGCGCTTTTGTATCGTGCGATGTTTAATGCCCCGGAGCGCTCACTTAAGTGTGTATGATTCTGTTGAAGAACTTGAAGAACAAGTTGTTTCAGGACATCAATAGCTGTCGGTAAGCTCGGCAGTGGCTCTATATCCTCTTCCGCGCTTAGTAACTCCTCCTCTGTATTCTTTGAATTCAGCGCCCAGACCACAGGGGAGCCACTTAGTTTTATCGCTTCGATTATTGAGACGGTGAGATCCCGTGAGGGGTTCGCGAAGCTTCCACGGATTATTATCAGAGCTGATTGGTTCATGGATTCCCAGTTTTGGAGTTGTGTGTGTTGTTGTGGTTTTGCTAGGCTTGACAATTTACGAGAGCGTCGGCGGTTCTTCATAGCCAAATGGTAGTAGAGGGCGCTTTCTGGACTCTAGAGTAGAGGTGTAGTAGCGACGAAGGTGATGATTTCAGAGACCTGGAGCTCGGACAGTTGGCGGTTGGTGTTGAGGAGCCTAGTGGATGTGAGGCTGTAGTGTTCTGAGCGATAATTAGCTTCGTTCATCAACTTGTTGCCAGGCGATGTTCGTTGAAGACTTACCAACTGCTATTTTTTTGAGTTCTCGGATGATGATATGCATGTCCCTCACCTGCATTATGTTACCTAGCAGTCCGCATTTCACTAGCTTAGGTCCTTACCTCTGCTTGCGCCGCGTCGGATACTACTGACTCGATAGTCCGCGAGCAAGTCTGAATCTCTTCAAGGATGTCTTTGTAGCGGGGAGAGAAGGGCTGGCTTGGTCAGAGGACTCTTCTCAGAGATTCCGAAAGAAGTATCTTACTTGGGTAATTACATGGTACATATGTTTTAGTCGACCCTCGCTGTACCAGTTCAGAGCCCTAAATGATATATGTGAGTGCTAGCAACAAAATTGCTGTAGAGGAGTATATTACCAGATGAGAAACTTAGTGACTTGAGCATATATCGTTGCGACGGCATTCCTCATCATTTCAGTTGGAAACAAGACAAGTGTTAAAGCAGCCCGAGGAAGTGCATCTGCTATCTGAGCCAAGGCTTTGGAAAGCTGTGCTACAAGCACTTCTCGATTGATGATGCCTGGGGCCACATAAGTTTGGCTTCCTGTTAGGCGGAGGAAACACACTTACTAATGAAGCAAAACTTAATCGCTCCCCAAACTAAAGAAACATATTCAGGGTGGTGCTGCGACATCTATCCATCAATAATTAAGGCGGGGTATTATACTTGAAGTTAAGGAGTTCCAAACCGTGTCCATGATAGTACTGTATACGGTACGAAAATTTTAAGAGCCATTCAAATGCCTTTGAGTCCCCCTTTCCATCGTATCGCGATTTTGCTTCACTTGTCAGGTTGAGAACGTCCGTAATGTCGTGTTTTGATTCGATCCATTTACGTTTGGCTTCATCTTCTGTGAGCTTAGAAACGAAGACCGCCACTCCTTCTTAGTATGTATCTTGGAGGAGGAGCCTAGAGCTACAGCCTCGTCAGCTGATGCCAACTCTCTGCGAGTTGATTAGAGCCATAAAGGAGAAACTCACTCAGGAACTGACCCCGGATGTTGCCAAGCGTATGTCGTCGAACTAAGGGCCATATCTTGTCGGTTCTGTTCCAGATGACTTTTTTTTTTCATGTTTTTCCTGTTCGGTTCAGTTTTGGGTCGAGAAGGCTGGTGCTGAGGCTGGGGCTGTGTTCTAAATGCTGCCTGGCTGTCGCTCAATTAATGCCGCCACGCACACATACATGATGCCTTACCTCTATTCGTTCTATACCCATTAAAGACAAATGCTAAAGTTACCCTATGGACATTGTAAGACTACGCAACTAAACAAGCCTAGCTATAGCCATACCACAGACACACTAGCACTCATTACCTCTAGAACTTCCTATGTGGCCACGGCCGTAATGACTGACACGGTCGCTGCTAGCCACAGCTAGGTGGGAGCTTCGGGGTGGTGGCCGTGGCGTTGGTTGGTAGGTGCCACGGAGAAGGGCTAAACGAGGTACTACCTTAATGATGGTTGTAGACAGGTCAACACCGCCTACTGCCGCGGAACTCTAAAGACCAGCGATATGTGGACTTCCGCCTCGTTAGTGGTCACTTCCCTGCCTAGCTAAGCACTGAATGGCATGACGTTGGGGTTGGGGTTAGCGTGCCTGCCAGAGCCGCATTATGGCGCTTGCGGGTAGTCGCGTGGAATTAAGCTATTTAGTGTACCTGCCAATTTAAGCCAGAATCATAAATCGTATGATCATTAGCCGTTAAGTCATTGACAGGGGCGAGGCTTGGTAGATAGTGCGTCTCTTAGTAGACCATATGAAAATCCTCTTATATCAATCAGGCTGTGACCATATAATCGTCTGCACTATTCGAACTTCATTGTAACCTCCTAATAACCCATCTTGTGTACTCGATATGGCGCCTACAGTACCGCCTAGGTTTAGCTCGGTATTGCCAGCTGCGGATAGGGAGGCCATCTCCACCCTTGTCGGCAGATCAGTATCCGCCTCGTCCGCATTTTCCTCGCTTTCGGCCGCCAGCTCGACGGAGGATTTCCTCCAGGCCAAGACAGAGAGCCTGGCCGCTGATATCGCCGCCAACAATAAAATAAAGGATGCCTTTTACGAGGCTAGAGAGCGAAGGGCCATTGCGGAGAATGACTTCAAGGAAGCCGTGGGCAACACAGAGGTGGAATTGGCTGCAGCAGAACGAGAGCTTGTCGTGATCAAGCGCCAAAAAAAAATGATTATAGACGATATGGACGAGGTGATGCCGAAACATCAAACTGTCGGTGATGCATATATTGAAACTATCACTAACCGAATCATGGCTGCAACTGGCCATCAGAAGGCCGAACCCTTTAAACAAAAGGTGTTTAGACACGACGTGCTGGCGTATTACGGTGCAGAGCGAACGAATAGTAAGGGACATATTGAGAAGTATTGCCACTTAACTGGGTGGCAACCTGCAAAGGACGTGAAATGTGCACATATTGTGCCAAAATCCCTCCAGTCTGATGAGCTCGCATACCTATTCGGAGTCCGGGAGACTATGCTGGCCGAACCGAGAAATGGTAAGCCCTTATACTATACAACAATACATTAGCTAACTAAATGCTATAGGACTCGTTCTGAATCATACCGTCGAGGGCGCCCTAGACAATGGTGAGATTGTCTTTATACCAGACAAGCCAGCTTCGGGTACTGATATTGTATGGCGCTGCGTTCTTATTGATAAGTCGGATGCGACAAACCTAGTTACCAGCGGGACTAGATGGGGAGACATTGACGGAAAAGAACTCAAGTTTCTTACTGCCAACCGCCCAGCAAGACGTTACCTCTATCTGAGGTACGTTATCACATGCATCTATCAGAGGAGAATGGGGAACTCGGAGATGCTCGATCAGGCACTGCGTCGGACTGATGTGCAGGGCTATATGTGGGCTACACCAGGACCATATCTTCGAAAGACTATGCTCGTGGCGCTTGCCCGCAAGGTGTCGGATACGTTTCTACCTGAGGCCTTCTATGGCACGTCGACCTTCACTGTTGCCGACGGATGTCCTGATCGTGGCGCCGAGGCTGAAGAGGACCTTGCTATGGGGCTGAGCATAAGGGTACGAGACGCCTTCGATGAGGCTAGGGATAGTAGAAGGGCCGATGAGGAGACTGGTGGCGAGTCTGATGAGGACGGGGATGAGGCGTGATTGCTGTGGGTGCCGAGGGGTCCTCGCTGACCCCCGCCCCTTCTTGTGGTCGGGATAGGCGGGGTGCGTATTTTGCCTGTGCTTTCAGTTGTCGTTAGCTGGTGGCTGGCTTGTTGTATGTTTTTGGTTTTGTATTGTTTTCGTTTGACTATGTTTAGGCATGCATTAGGCTGGCGTGTCGGTCCTGCGGGAGTTTGCTGTTGTCTGCCTATAGGCATTGTGTTGTTTTGTCGTTACTATTCAAAAGTTAGTATTCTTGTTGTAGCTCGCTCTTTTGAAGTGTAAGGCCAAGGAGTCTGAGGAGAAACCTCTAGCATCAACATGCATTACAAATGCTGCTAGAAAGCTAGGAGCTGACATATGATTCATCAGAGCCTTCAAACCCCCCCTTCCCTCACACCCCCCCATTATCTTGCCAATCTTCCCCCCCCCCCTTCCCCCTCTCTTCATCTCATCTCCCAACTGCCGTGAGGTAACGGCGCTGTCTACTAGTCCCCTACATACTAAAGCTATAGTACACAAACCTAACAAATACAAAATTAACAACCTTAACTTTAACAACCTTAACTAACGTAAGTCGTGGCGGGACGGATGGCCTAACGGGACGCTTTGATAGAGCACCCGCACCCCACCAAAACCCAAGGTCACATGACTAAAATTAAAACGTTAATAACTTTTGTAATAATGCTTATAATGCTTAATCTTCTTAGAATATTACTCTTTATATCATAATCTAACATGCGTAAAAACGCTAGTAGTACTAGCTTTGTTTTACAAGAGATATTAAGGCTTATATTTTTACTATATAAAATATTTATATAGTAAAACTTAAACTATAAATAACTAACGTAAGTCATGGCGTAACCGGCACAATGGCGTAACCGGCATAGTGGGGTTAGAACCACCCCATCAAATTACTACCACCTTTAAAAATCGCAAATAATTCAATTACTACCACCCTAATTCATCTATATCATCCTCTGAAGGCT